ATCATTTTAAATGACAGGACAAATGAAAGTGGACTGGACAAATACATGGTCAAGTCTTGTGTTTGGTGCACTTGACAGGACAAGAGTGAATGAAGTTTTTGCAAAAATTCATATTGGTCCTTGAACTTTATCAATAATTTTTTAGTCCGTAGATTTTATTTTCATTACAGCTTAGCCCTCATTTAAATTTTCTGTTCCTCCAATTTTTTGGTAAATGCAATTTAGTCCTGAATTGGATTTTTTTTAGCAACTAAGCTCCTACATCTAAAAATTCATTTTAATAAAATGGTCAAACTTTAGTCATCCAAATTAAAAAATCAACGAGTGATAAATAAATAAAAGATAATATGGAAAATTGAGAAATAATGATTTTGTCTATTGTATCATACAAGCCTGTTCCACCCCATGATAGGACAATAATTTTGCTTTTGGGACAACTTTGGACATGAAGAGGATTAAACCCTTTTCTTGTCACCAAACACAACACAGTCTGTCGTGTCCATTGTGTGCAACAAACACAACACAACACAACCTGTCCAGTCCGGCGTACCAAATGCATCTTGATAGTTCCCTTTTCTTTTGGACAAGCAATAAACTAAGAAGAATTACACCCTGGCCATCATATTTTTGTATGCCATTTTAACTACTCAGTTTAAAGTTCATTTCCTAAGGATTTCCTTCATTGCTGCTAATAAAGCTATCAACTGTTGGACTGATGCCATTTGAAGGGGAAAAGAAAACATAGCTGCTGATATATCTTCTACCATGTATCCATTGACCATCCATAAATTTGAACCAATTCATGTCATTAGCATCAAGCTTAGAGTCTTCTGATGTGTTTGAGAAACAGGCTTGAGATTTTTATGCCTCTAGAGAAAGAGAGTGCGTGTGAGTTGGAACCATTCACCCTCTTCCATGTCCATTTACTGGCACACCTTGCATTATGCAGAATTTTTGCTAGAGAAGGTAGGGCTTGCCTGCCTTTCTCCATAGAATGGGGTGTAGCAGGAGATGGGATGTGATTAGCTATCATCTTTGACTGTGATACTCTTTTATTAACGAACTTTGACTCTGATATTCATGCTCCTTTTAGTCAGTTGTTAATCGGATTTTATGAATCACAACTTGATTGTGAGGCGCAAACAATCTTTGTTGTTCTTTTGAAACATTTGTGATATTAGTTGACCATTAAATGAGATTGAAAAATATATTTCTTTGATTGTTTCTTAAAATGTCATTGTGATCCAACGCTTCTAACTTGCACCAGACCAGTTTCAGCTTGCCTGCCACCACAATCATTGCATCCCTCCTCATATGACATTTCTGAACAAAATCCTTTGATTTGTCCAGCTTCTGTAAATTAGTTTGAAGATGACCAAATAAATGAATAGGCATTATTGACTGCATATTTGAATTAGGTTAAGTGAAGAATGGATGGATATGGATAAATACTGTCAATCAGCATCATTAACTACTGCCCTGGATAAATAGATCAGCATCATTAACTACATGTATCCATGATGCCGAGGTTCTCATGAATTCCAGCCTTTTGGGAAATAGCCTGGTTGTCTGTGACCAAGTCAGGTCTTACCATTGCAGTTATTTCATTTTGTTTTGTATGTGCTGATTCAAACTTGCAACTTGAGAATTCTCTAAATTTTTGAAAATCTGGTAATCGATCATTCAAGGCAATGAGGAACTGATATGCCCGGAAGCCTCAGTTTATCTCAAGCACTAGCTCTTTAATGTGTTTGAAATCAAATGCATGTTAGCCTAACAGTGGAATATTTAGGGTTCATTTTAACTGCTTATGCCTTTTAAAAGATCTGCATGTTTTCAGAAACTTGCTATATCTTTAGCTCATGTAACGGTAAATTTCAGGTAAGCCAAGGGAATGATCCTCTCGGAAGATGTGACACTAGCACTACTAAAAATAAAGTGATCTTAGCACGTGTGTCGAGGTCATATTTGAAGATTCCTCAAGTGGATGGGCCAATTCCTGATCCTTATGATGATGTGGTTTCTACTCCCAATGTATGTATGACTACTTTTGTAATTTTCTCGAAATACAAAGATGCAATCAAGTATGCAATATGTATTCAACGTGGTTTCCTTGCTCTAGAATCATGTATGCACTGTCAAAGTGCTGCGCTGCATCCATCATTGTCCCAGCAGTGTTTTTCTCTTTGTCTAATTTCCAGTGTTTCCTGCTTCATAAAGGGCAGCCTGTGTTGGCCCAGTCAGTATAGGATCATATATTTCTTGATTCTTTATCTTGTAACTAGAAATACAATGTTTCATCCAGCAAAAGAAAAAAAAAAGGATAGAAAAACCCTCTCATTCACTCATGCACTGGCAAAGTGATGCACAATCTGTGTCATCATCACCTGGCTTGTTTTGGAGGACTTATTAATCTGGAGTAGCATGAGGTAGCTGTGATCTGAAGACGGTTTTCACATGTTTTGTGCATGCCCACATGTATAAGCATGCCTCTAGATATGTACAAATATACTGTCTGTGAAGAAACCCTGTCTTGAGATGATAAGTTAGTAATATCATAAGTGACAGTGTGCATAAGTTCACAGTAATTTTACAAAATTTGGATTTTTTTGACAGCAGTTTAGATTATGTATCTATGTTTCTTGGAAATATGGACATACTAAGGTGTACAGTTGGCTCAGAATTTGTAACTGAAGCACTTGTTATTTTATTTTCTGATACATGCTGCTGCTTCCACGTTCGTGCTTTGAATGTGGCTAATCTGAGAGGTAGCAGTTTGCTCTTTAAAGATGGAGTTAGAACACAAAACTCATTTTTTCCTGATTCATACCCTGAATGTGGTTTGCTTGAAAGCTAGTAGGATACTATTAAAAGTTGATGAGGCTTAAACCGAAATCCCTTCCATGTTTTTATCCATGCCATGGGGCTAGGATGTGGAATGGGTTGATGTTTTCTGGATATGGCTTGATTTTAAGGTAGCTGGTACATGCAAAGTATTGAAGAATGATTGTAACTCCTACCATCTGGTTCATTTGGATCAAATACTATATATAATTGCTCTTTGAACATGTAATTGGAAATGGTGGTTAAAGCAGCCAGCACTATTTATGTCCTTGGTTTGCATGTAAGGGTGTTGTTCAGGTCATGAGTGCAGCCTTTTTAGTTAATGTACTGTAGGATGAGATTGTCGCTGAAATATTATCAGGAGTCCTATGTTGCTGAGACTATAACTTCATTTTTTATAACAATGACCTTTTGAAAATTGAGTTTGGGATATATTGTTTTCTCAAGAGATTACCATTTTCTTTCTAATTTTTCTGTCTTTGATTTTTCTGTTGAAGATATACAATTATCAAGGAGTTGCCAATGAAGATTACAACATAGCAAACACACCAGCTCCCAATGGTTAGTTTATGTAATATGTCTTTTTCGAATTTGATAAATTTGCTGAGTATGTTTGTGACAATCAAGGTATTTGTTTTTTGTTTCTCCTTTCCACTTCTCAGATCTACTGGCAAGTACCCCAGCTGTTGTCAGTCAAAATGATGTTGCTGATGATGATGATGATGATGAGCCGCTGAATGAAGATGATGATGATGATGAGGATCTGGATGAGGTGGACCAAGGAGAGGAGCTGAACACGCAACATTTGGTTTTAGCTCAATTTGATAAGGTAAACATGCACTCTTCTTTTCACCCTTTCTTTTTTTGTTTGATTGGTAGTGTTCATCATAGCAGGTTGGTTTTGTTGGTTGAATATACCAGTGATGCTAGTCTTCTGATAATAACATTTTTCTTGCATGGATAGGTGACCCGTACCAAGAGCAGGTGGAAATGCATACTCAAGGATGGTATTATGCATATAAACAACAAGGACATTCTCTTTAATAAGGTCTGTCTTCCATCAAATAATTGATGTTACAATTTGGTTCTGTATTGTACCGAAATTCCAAAATATTTGTTGGAATTCTGGCTTTCTTTTGCAGGCAACAGGAGAATTTGAGTTTTGATTTTGTTAGGGGAATGTCTGCTTGGCAGCTAGTATCATTTGCTTTTAATGGACGTATCCTGAGTTACCATTGGTTGTGTGGTAAGGTTTCTCAAAAATGTCCTCTAGTGAGAGCTCAAGGGAAGTGAACGAGATGCTTCTTTTTTTTTTGAGTTGAAACCCTTTTGAATGGGTTGGATGGTTGGCCTATTGTACATAAAGGAAGAGCTTTTCAGCTTTTATAATGTATTACTGCAGGAGGTTTTTCTTGAGATTCCAATGTAATTTCATTTATGTCATACACTTGGACAAGCTGCTTCATCCCCTTTTCTTTTTTTTATTCACACCTTTTATGTTCAGTTTGGTTGACAATGATCATGCTCTGTGCTACTGGTGCCTTCATCTGTACATGCTTTTAGTAGGCAGGCAGAACCCGATTGTGGTCGAGATGCATGGTATTTTGCTTTCTTCATCAATTCTGTCTTGGACACCTGGAAAAAAATTGCCAAGCAAAGGGTACTAGCGGATAATTGTATAGTTAGTAGAAATCTGACATTGGCCACAAGCCAAACCGTTAGAATTCTGGTGCCAGGATATGGGTTGTAGTTTTCCATTTCTCTTGTGGATTTAGTGGTGGGTCTGCGTCAATTCTTAAGAAACCCTGTTTCGCTGAGCTGATTTGTCATATCACAAGGTTACTTGCCGGGGACCACTCCTCTTGTAGAGTAGGAGTTAGCATTTCAAAAAGATAGTCATGATAGCAACACTGTTCGAAAGTAAGAAATTACTCTTTAATTTGTGTTTATTTACATCTTTCTGGCGAAACCGTTCCAAGAGAGTTCATATTGAGATCAACAAACGAAACAATTATACATCGTAGGGATTTCCATCCTAGAAAATGCAGTATTGAGTTGTGACCTGTGTCGGAGAGAAATCCTCGGAGGTTGAAAAAACGAAACAGAACCTGCAACGAGTTGAAATCATGCACAGTAACTCAACATACAATTGAAAATCATGACTGTGCGTGATCAACGGGTAGACATTTAGATCGGAAGAGAGTAAAAAAGGATGACGGCTCAATGTATCCACTGGCTACTGCTGGATGTTGCCAAACTCTTGCCTCTGAATATACATCGTGAACATCATCTTCCTTCCCTTTGTCATTATCCCCACATGTTACAGGAAATGTAAATTCTTCTGCCTCCGATGGCAACGGCGGAGGAGATACAGAAAGTGGTGATAGGAGAGGGATTGGAGTCGGAGGAGGAGAGGCCTGACTAGCAGGCAGAAGAGGGGTGGAGAGCTGATCGAGATCGAGAGCTCGTGGGGCTTGCTTCTGTAGCCTTGTGGGTGGCTTCCGTACCTTGTCATTGGTTTTGGGTATTGGTTGTGCTTGTCTTTGAAATATGTTGCCATCATATTGCTCCATTCTTGAATACGATGATAGCCGCTATCTGAAAAAAAAAAAAAAAAAACTCGCAAGAAATATTGTCCTCTACCTGATGCACAGCTACAATAATATTGCATGAGATTCTGTAATCTCCCCCACCCCACCCACCCCCTCTCTCTGTGCCAAGAGCCAATTTTCATGGAGAATAGAGGATTAAAAGGGGTGGTCAATGAAGGGAATTCCTCTTCCATAAGTAAAATGCATTTTGTTTGATTTATCCTTGTTTAAAGGAGAAAAGGGTGGTGAAGCCACTATTTGGTGCCAGTTCAGTTGGCGTCGCACCTCATCTTATGCCTCTGTTACGGACATGACGAACGTAGGTGAGCCACAAATGCCTTACCCTTAATAGAAGAATGTAGTAGCAGTGCAAAACCCTATCTCACTGCCATCTAAACGAGCCGTTGGCAAATTCAACAGCATTGAAGCATCTAGAAGCTTCGATGTCGAAGGAAGAGGACCTGAAACAAAAATAAAGGTAAAACCTTGGATCATGAAGTGAAAAGCCCACGACTCAAAATCTCTTTTTGGGTTTCAAACCTAGAGTATCTTTGCTGTAGTTGTTTTTGTGGTTGTAGTTTTAAAAATATAATTTAATAAAAAATATGTTTTATAAGATTTATTTTAAATTTTAACATGTTTAATTAAAATTATGGTTGAGAAAAATAAGTTTTTATATTTGATTATATGTTTTTTGTACGAGGTTTGATTATAAAATTACCTAAAAGAATACATACATACATACATATATATATATATATATATAACAAACTACTTACAATTCTATCGTGTATAAATCTCATATGTGAAGGCCTTTACGATAATTGAATAGCTAAACGAGGTACAATATTAGGTAAAAAATAAAATTAAAATTACGATCATACTCGAAAATTTTTTTATCATCTTGCAATCTCCTTCTAATATAGTTATATAGTGCCGTCGATACAACTAAACATCAATGTATTTAATTTTTTTTAAATAAACATATATATATATATATATATATTATTTGTAACAAAAATTACCTCTAAATATAACCACTCAATAAAAAAGCTTTACACAAATAAATTATAATAGGATAAGCAATATATGTTTTGTTGCCATTATTACATAAAAACTTATTTGAATTTTCATCAACCAATGAAAACCAAGCATATTTAATTTGTATTTATACTTGTTTTTAAAGGGCATCGTTTTCAATCACGGATAAAAATCTGTAAATTTCTAGAACCAGCCGCCACCACTTCCCTTCAATTCCCCATTTGCCTCTTCTTCGTTTTCTTTTTCCCTCGGCCTAAAAACAACACAAGATTAGGATGAAATTACCAATGCAATGAAACATCTCACAACAATTGTTCTAGAACTTGGAGGAGAAAGCATAGCTGCTGTTGATTAAAAGATGGCTACTAGATAATGGGCAAAAAAAGATGTTTGCCTCCTCAACATTGACGGGCTAAAAGAAAAACTAGGGGAAACTTTTGGAAAGAATCCAATGAAATCAAAGAACCCAATGCATATGGTGAACTCAGACCACTTGAATTGTTTGGAAAGGATTTTGGATGAGGATAAGGTGTTCAACACTCATTGTGAAGGCCAAAGAAATCAAAACAAATTAGGAATAAAGGGGAAGATGGGCTTTCCAACGGGAAAGTTTTACAATGTTAATTAAAATTATACAGTGTCAGTGAAAAAGAGGAGAACACGACAACAAAAAGCAATTATTTTTTGCTTTTTAAAAACTGAGGTCTAATCTCAGTTTTGAAGGGGGACCCACATAAAAAAAAAGTGTGTCAGTAGTAACCAAACACTTTAAAATAACTTTTGATACCAACAATAGCTGCAGCAGCAAACCCAAACACCTTCTTAAAAACTTCCTGCTTTTGCTTTTCTTTTTCTCTTTGGCTTAGAAGTATCTATAAATTTAATCTTTAAAAGATAAATTATCTATAAATCTCCGTGTGTTAATTTTAAGATCAGTAAATTTATTTTTATAGCTCATCTTCCAAGAAAGTTCAAATTTAATTGTGCTTTATATATTTAAAAAACTACCTTAAATTGTTTTTTCTTTCAAAAAATATTTCATAATATCTTTTTTGAATGTATGTTTTTTTCTCATTTATAAAACAATTTATAATTATAATCTATTCTTTTTTTATACCACCATTATTATAAATTATTCAAATGAAATTATGATTATAAAAATAAACAAATATATAAATTTTCAGACTTGTAATTTTATTTTTATAAATAAAAAACTTAAATATCTTTAAGGATAATGACGTACTTCAAAAAATTTCAAAGAATTATGACAATAGACAAGAATAAAATTTTATGATAATAAATATTTAATTTTAAAATCTTTTTTAAAAACTTGTAGAAAAATATAAAAACATATATAAATAAAAAAAATACATAATGAAACTTGTCTTTACCAAGCAAAAAAAAGAAAGATAATCAAAAGCATATATATAATTAATAAAGAAGGGTATTGAGCAGACACCTATAAGTTGGAATCTCCCTTTAAAAAAGTGTTTAAGGATAATAGTGGTTGTTGTTTAAAATATTTTTTTATTTAAAAATATATTAAAATAATATATTTTTATTTTTATTTTTATTTGTTAGAAATAATTTTTTTTATAAAACATATAAAAATAATCCAAAACAAAAAAAAATAATTTTAACTAAAGATTTTTTTTTCTTTCAAAAACCAAGTTTTCAAACACTATCTAAATATTCAACATTCACAACTATCACGACCAAAGAGTAGGGCATAACTGATTTCAATTTTATCATGGTCAAGTTCTTATTTTCCTCATCAAGCACACACCATTGAGATGACATGTATTGGACTTCATATGCTGCTATTAGCGTCTCTTCATCACCTTTTCCAGATAAATCCATGGAAATTTTGGCTTTTCATTATAGCGAAAGAGTCCCCAATGTCTCTCGAAATGTCCTGGTGCAATGCTCTTCTTATTCTTCAATTAGGTCAAAGAGATACACATCCAATTAACCTGGTCGGACAGGGGTTCCCATTTTTAAGGAGACCGTCATGGAACGTTTTAGCTAATTTGGGGTCTGCATTAATGTTATCATCTGTAGGCCAGCCAACTTGTCCCATTATGATCTTCAAATCGCCAGCACTGTTACCATCTGCAGGCCAATGAGGTTTAATTTGACAAAGAAACTTCACAGTGTGAATCATAACATCCTTCACGTTGTTACGGAGATTGCCATCGGGTGGTTTGTTGGAAGATGATTCATGAACATCAGCATTAAGGGCTAGTAAAACTTGCAATGCTGGAAACGTCTTGCAATGCTGAAAATGTAGATGTAACATTGTCGCAAGTGCTATGAAAACTTGACAGGAAAGACTCTTTCCCAACAGCCGAAGAGGGGTTGTTGTAAGATGATTCTTAAACATTAGTATTAAGGGTTACTGTAGCTTTGATTTTGTCTTCGACTTCAACATTATCCAAAGCCTTTTGAACGTTTTGCCAAAACTAGCAATTAGCTGACGTTTCTTTTATTAAGTTCTTAAGTAGTTTTAAATAGCTTGTGTAAGAATGTAATACTTGTAAAAGGGAAAAGATGGAACGAGTGGTTTATCCAGGGTTGCTGCAACCTCTGCCATTGTCAGAAGGTACATGGAAGAATACCACAATGAACTTCATTGAAACACTTCCTAAATCTGAAGGCATGGATATCATCATGGTAATAATAGATATAAAATATGCGTATTTTATTGCCTTAGCATATTCATTCTCAGCTCAAGAGGTTACATACACATTTCTGGATTATTTTTATAAGTTTCATGGTCTGATAGCTTCAATTGTGACGGAAAGAAAAGATACTTTCAAGTATCTTGGAACTGTTTAAAAGGTTGTGATTCAAGCTATTCATGAGCTCTGCCTATCATCCTCAATCAGATGGGCCATCTGAAAGAGCTGATCAATGATCGAATAATAGTGCTACAACACCAGCCATCTGAAAGACCTAAGATGTATGTCTATGTATGGTCCCAATACGTGGTATTCATGGCTGTCATTGGCATAATAGTGCTACAACACCAGCCATCACTTTGCCATTAAGATGTCTCCCTTTCAAGCATTGATGGTTATGTACTATTATAGTTCAAGATGTTTCTCTGGTGGCTGTTGTGGATGAGATGTTGCAGGTTCGAATAAACAAACATGGATCGCATTCTTCAGAGGCAGTTGGAAACGACAATAGATAAACGCAGATCTAAGAGGGAGTTCAATGTGAGGGGCTTGATTTATCTTAAATTGCAACCATATAAGCAGATAAGAGTAGCTTTAAGAAAGAATTTAAAGCTTAATCCTAGATTCTATGAAACTTATAACGTGGTGCAAAAGGTGGAAACTGTGGCTTACAAACTACTGCCACCAGGAGGAACATTAATGCATCATGTTTTTCATGTTTCATTACTAAAACAGAAGGTTGGAGATCAAGCAGTAATATCTTTTAATCTGACAGTAGTTGATGAGTATGGCAAGGCTAGAGTGACTTCTATTGCAAAAACAAAGTTGCTCCCATGATGCTAGTACAATGGTCCAACTTATTTGAGGAAAACTCTACATGGGAGGATCATGAGGAATTGAGCAAACAATTTCCAGAGTTTAATGCTAATTCTTGAGGATAAAAACTCATTCAAAAAGGGAGTATGGCTACTGCTCCAGTATTCAGTATTCAGCAACATAAGAACAAACACATGGATTAGCTACTACAACTCTTAAGGTGTAGGACAAGTAATGAACATAATAGTTATGTAAATTCTCTTCTTCTTCTTCTTTTTTTTTTCCAAGTTTCTTAGTTGTTAAGGTTAAGATCCTAGCATTATTATTGAAAGACGTTTTTCTCTATAGCATTGATCTAATGCTGCTCTGATTCAATACTAAAAGATCCAGACTCGAAGTCGAAAGAATTTTCTCGCTGTTAACAAATATTTAAATTATAATCGTAAAACCTGTCATGATGCTAAACACACATTTAATTCCCTTGAGTGTGTGTCTATATATATATATATATATATAGTTTTATTGTATAGTTCAATTAATTATTTGAAAATTATTTATATAAAAAAATTATTTCAAAAGTGATACTTTAACTTCAACCTCTGTTTTTTTAGAGAGAGAGAGAGTGTGTATAGTTTTATTGTGTAGTTAAGTTAAATATTTGAAAATTACTTATATAAAAGAAAATTTATTTCAAAAGTGATACTTTAAGTGGTGATACAAACTTCAGCTTTTTTTTTTTTCAGTGTTTGGAAATATAGTAATGATTATTTTTTAAAGTATATTTTTATTTGAAAATATATTAAAATAATTTTTTTATTTTTTTTAAATTATTTTTGACTTTAACACATCAAAATAATCTAAAAATATAAAAAATTAATTTAAAACAAAAAAATAAAAAATTTTAATTTTTTTAAAATACTTTTAAAACACAAAAATAAATAGATCATTTTACTCAATTAGCAATTTTCAAGTTTTTTTTATTATTATAATAACTAGAGGTGAAAAAAAACCAAAAAACCAATTTAATCGAGAAAGCAGAAAAATTAATCGAAAAAACTAAACAATGAAAAAAATTCAATTAAAATATTTAGAAAAACTTCTGGCTTAGTTTGGTTTCAGTTTTGTAATTCTTAAATCGAATAACCCAAATCAAATTAAACTGATTTAAATTAAAAAAAATATTCTATAAATATCCCTCACATATACGTCATACACAACCCACGTCACACCTTCTCAATCCTTAAACCTCCTACAACACTCACAAGTTCACACCCAATTAATTCTTCACGGTACTCACAAGTCCATATCTAATTAGTTCTTTGTTCTTTAACCATCCCCACCCAAACTCTTAAAAGTCCACAGACTCCACACCTAATCAATTCTTCACACCACTCATAATTAACTTTTTGTTCTTCGACTATCCTGCCCAAGCTTCCACAAGCTAGACATAACCTTTCAATATTTATTTTTCAATCATTTTTAGATTTATCATCCTGGTAACATTCCTAAGCCTCAAAAACAATAAGATTTCTTCAATTTATGGGTAATTAATAGAGGTAAAAAAAAGTGGGGGTTGGGTTTAATTTCATGGTTTGAGTTGATGATAGTTGCTGAGTTTTTTTTTATGAAAGGAAAATGAATAAAAAAAATGGCATTAGACACTAAGCAATGTTTATTGTATTGGTGATGATTTTTGTTTAAGAGTATAATTTTTGATGATGTAGGTTTTCAGATTTGTAATAATAAAGAATAATTGATTACTATGAAAGAGCGCGATGTGTTGTTATGGTTTTGTGGAAGGTCATTTACTTAAGAAAAGAGTGGTATGGATTTATCATTATTATTGAGGTTTCTGGTTATGAATATAAGTTTGATTTTGTGGTTTTTGGATGTTAAAAAACAATATAGGTTTTTTTAGTTTTTGACATGGAAAACTAAACCAAACCGAATTGAAACCGGTCAGTTGGAATTGGGTTTAAATTGGGTTTAGTTCGGTTTTGGTTTTTTCAAAAAAATTCAATTTGATTGTTTTTATAAGTAAAAACTGAATTGAACAAAAAATGATCACTCTCAGTAGTAGTTATGGCTTTTTAAAGTATTTTTTATTTGAAAATATATCAAAACAATATTTTTTAAAAATAATTATTTTAAAATTAATGTATTAAAATAATATAAAAAAATTAATTTTTTTTTTTTAAAAAAACCTTATCTTTCATAATAGAAACCTCACCACTCCACAGAACGTCCTTCCCTGATTCATTTCTTTTCCTATTGCGGATTGTCTTAGTGAGCTGATTTGTCAGTCACAGCCACCACAACAGTTGATCCATGGCTGCAGTCCTTTCCTTTGACACCTCTGTGACCAGCAAGATATTACCTGGAGGAAAGGGAGTGGTTGGTTCTCTCTTCCAAGCTCTCACGGGCACAATGAGTTCATATGAACACATCAGTACCGGTAATTTTCACTTTGATGGCTATCCTGCATCTGTATCAACTTCCTTTTTTTTTGTGTTATTTCTCGGGGAGGCTAATGTCTGTTAAATCTTTCCAGTATGAGCTTGTTTTTCCTAAGATGGAATCAAGTCACTTCATGTTTACCTTGCTCTGTGTAAGTTCTTTGAGGGACCCAAATTAGAATTAAAGTTGATCATTACAACTAATCTCCAGTGCTTAATAAATCAGAGTCTGTTTAATCACTTGGGGTAGTTGGATGCAGGAAACAGAAAGTGAACGTACCCTGTCCTAAGAGGTTGCGCTGCCTCATCTGCAACAAGCTGTGACCCAATAACCGGGAGAAATGATGGAAGCTTTTTTATCAGACATCTCTAGCCTTTTCATTAGGTAATTGGGTATCTACACTCTTTCTGAAAGCAGGGTTATTAATATTGCTGCCTTCTAATTGCAAATTTTGTTGCAATGTTTCTTTACTTTTTCTTGGCAGGTGTTTTAATCCCTTTTCAACCTACAAAGCTGCTGTCTATATCTTCTTTCTTCCTTGAACGTGGTTTTTGCAATCTTGACTGTTTGTAGAAAGATTAAAACAGTTATATGTGTATATAACATCAGCATCAAGATACATTATCACCAATTTTTTTATTCCACTACTAGTCTGTGAATAAACCACCCGGCCAGCAGCCATATCACACTGAACTGCACTCTAGTTAGGATAATCGATGATACTGGGTGTTGGATTTTCTGTATTGTGGAAAGCTGACTGAAGCCTATGCTTTCTGCAGATCATTATATCAGAAGTCAGAATAGTTCAATATGTAATTAAACTTCAATGTACAAACGAGGTAGGCATAAGTGATTAATCATTTGAGTCCATAACAGAAGTAAGTGGAGAGTTTTATCAAAAAAGAAACAAGGACTAAATGAATGGAGAAGGAAGATCTGTGAAACTGATTCTAACTAGTTTGGGAATGAGGCATTGTTGAGTTCAATTGTGGGGTGGGGTTAGAGCGCTGAGGTGAATGGAAGAAGCTACACGGCCATCATTGACTAGCATTGTTTCATCAAACATTGTACTATTTCAACCATGTGTTTTGCTTAAATCATAAATTATACCTATGTTTGTATGCTAATAAATTAACCCCTCTTAGAGCAGTCTTTGTGGTGCTTTGAGGATTACTATGGTATGCACAAACCTTCCAAGCATTCCAATCTACCTTCCTCTTCACCACTAATACCAGGCTTGCCACATGCCAGCTGTTAGTCTTGAGGTTAAAGAATTTATACCTCATTAAGCCATGATTCAACGACCACAGCTGAGGATTGAGTCGGTACTAGAGAAGGAATGAGCAGAGTAATCATTAGATCTATGGAAAGACAAGGTGAAATCTCCAGGTTCTTCAAGACTAGCTGGCATCAAACCTATGCTAGCACCATCAAGCGGCATCTCTGGCAAGGTAGCATTCCCATCCAAATATTGCGCAATTTGCCTCATGCTTGGCCTAGCTTGTGGTGTAGAGAAAGAACAAAGCAGACCTAGCTTCAAAACCAATTCCATTTCCTCCACCACGTAATTACCTTCCAATCTTGGATCACCTGTTCGTAGAATGTCTCCTATTTTCAAGGAATCAAGAACCCAGTCAACCAAAATCATCTTTTCTGCCGATTGTTCTGGCTCTAAAGGTTTCCTTCCACAAGCCATTTCAAGCATAAAAGTGCCAAAAGCAAAAACATCACTGCTGGTAGTGGCCCTTCCTGTTCTAGTAACCTCTGGCGCAATATATCCAACTGTTCCAACCACACAGGTTGTTTGAGGATTAGCCCCACGATCATAGAATTTAGCAAGCCCAAAATCTCCTAGTCGACCATTGAAATCATCATCTAACAATATATTGCTAGCTTTCACATCTCTATGCAGAACAACCTGTTCCCACTCTTCATGGAGGTAAAGAAGGGCCGACGCAACTCCTCTGAGGACCTTATATCGCTGAACCCAATTAAGGCTGGGTGTGTCATTGTGAAATAGGAGTTTATCAAGGCTTCCATTGGGCATGTAATCATAGACCAAGAGGAGCTCTCCCTTTCTCCGGCAATAGCCTAGGAGCTGGACCAAGTTCCTGTGCCTCAGCCTTCCCATGCTAGCAATCTCAGCAACAAACTGCTTAGTTCCTTGTTTGGAATCATGTGATACTTTCTTGATCGCGACTTGCATATTGGAAGAAGGCAATACTCCTCTGTAAACCTTTCCAAAACCTCCACTTCCCAGCAACTTCCTGTCCGTGAAACCTGTAGTTGCTTTGTATAAATCCTTGTAGGAGAATCTTTGAGGACCATACTCCTGTTCCCAATCTTCGCGCAGTTCTTCATATTTCTTCCTCCTTATTATATAAGCAGCACCAGAGATTGCTACCAGCAAAATGATTGCTGTTATTGCTGGGACCAGAATTCTTAAATATGGTTTTTTTCTTGATTTTCTTTGAGGGGGGAGTGAAGGCAACTTTGACACGTCAAGGCTTTGAGCTTGTCCGCCTCTGTTGAAGCTCCACCCCAGAATATAGTGGCTGCTAGCCACTGCTCCAGTAGATGAAGAAAAACCAACGTACATAGAATCCAACATAACAGAAGAAAGATCGATAGTTGTTGACAAGAGAGGCAAGGTTGGTTTTGTTCTTGTGACAGGAGCAACTGTAACATTGAGTAGCTTCTCTACTTCATCATAATCTATCCACACGTGCATCTCATGACCACTTATGAGAGTCAAGCTCTTATTCTCCTTTTCCTCATCTGAAAAGTAGGTCACCGGAGCAGATTCAATGGATATCAAGCTGTTTACATCAATTCCAACGTGGCTGTCATTGATGTCTTTAAGATCCTGGCTCGGAACTGCATCCAGCTCAACTGCCAATAGATGGTTTGAAGACAGGCCATTGCTTGTAGAATTGAGGATTCCAAAGTACTGAGCTGCCAAAGCCCCTGTGAAGTCCATAGTTGGAGAGATTGTGAAGGCCATGCCATGGCCACCAAGTATAGGCTGCTCAGGGACCATGGCAAACGCAAACTGGGTAGAGAATGAGAGAGACCGAGAATTGTTGAATAAAGATGTGTTGAACTGAAAAGGGAATGGGAAGAAAGCGCGGCCAATTTGCCGTTTTGAAGTGTTTGTCAGCTCTAAGAGACCATTTGGATGGATTTTTGCATTCTCGCTGAGGTGCAGGTTGGCTCCAGTGAAGCCATGATAGATGAAGTGATTTTGCTCTTGAGCTAAGGCCAAGAAATTCAAGGAAAGAAACAGGCCGAGTAGAAAGTGCAATGATTTGAACGATGCAATCATCATAAGAACGTGCAGAAGATTGGTAACAGAAGACAAACTTTTTTCGCTTCAGTTTCTCCGTAACAGTTGTTACAGTTTCAAATCGTCAGTCTAAAGACAAGACTGAATTATTAACACGTCTCTTCACATTGCTGTGACTTGCGCGCATGCGAACCTTCTCCGAAGCTTTTTCTCTGAAAAAATAGGGCAAGCTACTTTTCAAGGTTGATACAAGGTCAAAGAAAATAAAATTCTAAAGTCTTCTATGGCAAGAAACAAATTCTATTACTAATTGGACTTCCAAGATATTTATCATTTTACTGAATATTGCAGATTGAATCAACAGTTTTAAACCTCCGTTGCTCGGACATGCGGTGCGCAAGTGTCCGGATTCAGACCTGGTTTCCCAAAATTCCCTAGTTTGCTCACAGATCTGAAGTGCTGGAGGAACTGTAATTAATTTAGGGTAAAAAAAGACTGAAGTAACAAAGAGCACTGCAGTGCCATTTCTTTAATTTATCGAAACCAAAATAAAAGGATGTTCAAGCCTGATTCTTATGAGCAGATGGAGATGGGCTCGCAGATAGTCAAATAGATGGGTGGCCAGCGTGGTCGTCAATGTTTTCAAAGGAGCAAAATAAATTTGAATTTGATAAGTTTAATTAATTTAATAATATGATTAAAAAATATATTAATGATAAATAAAATAAATATTTTTGGCAATAGTTGATTATAAAAAAATAGCTGCTAATATAATACCTGAGAGCAAATGAAGGAAAAACCTGTTGGGGATTCATCATCACTTCACCAAGCAAAAAAACAAAATATTATAAAGTGAGTATTTTATATTTATATTTAATTAATTAATTTAATAAAAAATTAATTTTTTAAAAAAAATTAAATTTAACAAAGAGTGACAAATTAAAAGATTTAAGACAATCTATGTTATTTTCAAAACCAATGAAAGTTTCTACATAGAAAAAATAAATAAAAAATAGAGTCTAATATTTTATTAAATAAATACCGAATGATGAAATTAAAGAAAAACAAGCTTAAACAAAAAAGAGAACATGAGGGTAAAATTTGATAGGAAAAAGATTGGAGAATAAAATCGTAAAAAAAAGTTCAAATCTAAAACCCATCTAAAATAAATAAATAGCAATAAAAAAATAATGATGATGAAATTTAATAGATTAAAAATTTGAAGATGAAGTTGAATTTTTTTATTTTTATAAATTATTTTAAATAAAACAAATAATAAAAAAAAATCAACTCAAAAAAAAAATTAAAGTGTTGGTTTTAAAATCTAGAGGGCTAAATGTGGAAATCAAGAAGGATAAAAAAAAAAAATTATTAATTCTAAATCATTGATTAGCCACAAGTATAGCCTAGATAGATATGAAGGGGTTGTCAAGACAATTCTAAGATTGCTTTTAAAGCTAATATTTGTCTCTAAAAACCATCATGCTAATCACACAACTAGTATAGGAAAAGCTTATGTGCTAGTTTTTTAATTAATATTAATATTTATTAAATTATTATTAATCAACTTCATTATAATAATAATAAAAAAAAGGCTAGTTTAAAAAATAAATAAAAAATTCTAAAGGCAAGTTAATTGTTTTTGCTTGCAAGTGCACATCAGTCTTTTACTATGTTTAAGAAAGTGTTAGGATAAATAAGCCCCAGAAAATTAGTTAAATAACTCTTTTGTTTTTTATTATATTTTATCATTTTAAATTGAAAAAAAAAATACAAGATATTTTTGCTTTTTATGAATTTGATAAGATAAATGGGTACAGACTAAATTGACCTCAATATTTCAGTGCAGGGGCAAATCTGCAGTTGCACCGTTCCAATGAATAAACTTGGTCCAGTATGTGTCGCGATTAATTTAATTTAATTTAATTTAATTTAAATGGTGAACATAACACGAAAATTCCATTTCGACGACGTTATTCCTAGGTGGCCATCTTTGACTTTACACAGAAGAAAATTAAATCAAGAAAATAGGATGGTCAAAGTGGGCCCTCTGATTCTCTATGCTTTAACTCAAAATTTTTAGTCTACTTTGGCCTTTGACCAAGAAAATTGGAGAGGGTAAAGATGACAATAAACAAGTTGTAGCAGTCGCTCGCAAGAGATAAAAAATATTTATTTATTTATTTTAAATTATTTTGATATGCAATATTAAAAATAATTTTTTTAAAATATTATTTTAACATATATTTTTTTAAGATACACTTGAAAACACACTCTTCAAAAGAACATCGTAATAAATGAGTATAATAAATTGTAGAAATGGTATACGTCATGCGATGGTGTAGCCAATACCGTATGCATTGGCAAGACTCTCGTCTTGTCTCTTAATGTAAGATGCATGCATAGCGCACACATTATTCTTTTCATGTGCTACTTATCCTTGAACCCACTACACTTAATCCTATACCCATTTAGCCCTCCTCTTTTTTCTATTTTTATCTTTTTTTTTTGGATTAAGTAAAATTTGAGTTCTATAACTTATCAATTTTAAGAAGCAATGACAAGATTTATGGAATCATTTTAATTAACCAACCATTTAATAAATAAATTCGCCAAATTAATTATTTTAACATGAGAAAATAATAGGCTTAAAATAAATTATAAATAGATAAGAAATTAATCTTAAAAAATCTAAATAATATTAATTCCAAATTGCATGATTATAAGATCTGATAACTTACTTATATAGAAGAAATTGAAGGTTTAAATTGGCTTGTAAAACCTAAAAACCTTTAGATTAGAGAGATTTTAGACCATGTGAATTTTGAGCTTAAATCACGTGCTGGACTACAGTTTGAATTAATTATAAAATATTTTAAAAATTATTTATAAGTTATGATATATAGTGCAATATTTTAAGATGACTCGTTGAATTCTAAGAAGTAGCAATTTAACCTTCATAATAAATTATTGAATCATTAACACCAACAAACATGCTTTCTTTGTTTGTATATAATTCTTTAGTAAGTAATAATATGCTTATATAATTTATTATTTATTTGATGTGAAAGGCATCAAAATTATTTTTCAACAAAATCAACTTGATCAATCAACCATCATCGATTGACTTTAAGCAACCACAATAATCAATCAAGATGGATTCATCATGCATGCTAAATTTAAATAGAATTTATTATATGTTTCATAAATCTATTAATTCTGCTAGTTAAGAAATATTTATATGTTAATAATCAAACTATATAATTTTGATACAATTAAATAACTCCTACAAGTCGTCCTTGTTTCTGGGCTTACGGTCTGCAGGAGGGCAACTGTTTCATGGTAGAACTCACAAGATACAAGTGGTTGTAAAAAAATTGAACAAATGCTACAATCTTCAAAATTTCGCGGCAGCTTACGCTATATTTCACATCGAACAAGTCTTAATGTACATATTTTCGTAATCAATCCTCCAGGAAGCATGGCTGGTTCAACGACCACGGAGGTTGATTCAGAGCCGGACAAGGAATAGGAAGAAAATTCACCAGATGATACAGGGATTGTTAAAACATGCTCTGTAGATGCTTCAATGCTAGCTGGAACTAAACCGATTCCTGCACCTTGCAGTGGTAAATCAGGTAAAGTAGCATTTCCATCCAGATATTGCACAGGTTGCCTCATGCTAGGTCTAGCTTTGTTGCAGTGTGGTGAGATCTACTAATAGCTTAGTACACTAGGTTAGGTTAGGTGGCATAACAGGATCACAAAAAAAATTATTTTAAGAACTGAGATAGAAGTTTTAATTAATTCAAGGGTCCAGAACTAAATAATGATTAGGATATTTTGATACTTTTTAAAAAAAATTTAATCAATATCTTCTGTGAAGAAAAACTAAAAAAAAAAAGACATGAATAATAATATTAGTTATGAACATATTAAAACTAATTTTTTACATCTTAATTTGATGTACTCTGTTTTGATTAAAAATAACAATTTTAATTTTTTTTTTGAAAAAGATGGTTGAGCCTATAAAATAAATTTTTAAACTTTTAAACTTTTTTTTCTTATTTTTTTTGGATTTTTATGAATAAAAATACATTCAATATAAATTTTTGAAGAAGGGTTCTTACAATCATAAGAACCCGCAGAAGTTTGATTTTGCTTCTTCAGTTTCACATTGGTAAAAGAAAACAATAAAGCAACGTCGTTAAAGTCTTCTTGATCAAATCGAAGGCTTCAAGTGAAATGATTCCGAGAAGATGGTCAGTTAAAACGTGTTATAAATTGATTGATCCTTAATATTCTATCTAATTGATTGCGGAAAGGATTAGCTTAGTATCTAATTGGCTCTTACGCATGGAAAAGGCAGTCAGGAGTCATTAATTAGTACGAATTAATAATAAATGATCGACTATTATCAAAAAATACAGAAGAAAACAAACCTTGCACCTCGAGGTTTCCTTAATCCTTGCTCCAGCTTCAAATCCTTGGTCTCGAGACTAACATATTGTGATGATAACTTTTCGAGAACATCTTTGCCTTTCTTTGATTGTTGTCTTTTTATGTTTTGTTTTTCGTCCATGTCATTTAAAAGCAAGTGAACCCTCTCCAAAGCTTGTCAAAGTCGATACAAGATCAAAGAAAGTATAATTCTAAAATCTTCTATAGCAAGAAACAAATTCTACTACCAATTGGATTTCCAAAATAATAATTATTTTACTAAATATTGCAGATTGAATCTACGTTGCTCACACATGCGGTGCGCAAGTGTCCAGATTTAGACTTGGTTTTCCAAAATTCCCTAGTTTATCTTCACATATTTGAAGTGTTGAAGGAATCGTAGTCAATTTAGGGTAAAAAGAAGATTGAAGTAACAAAGAGCATGATTGTGGCATTTCACCAATTTATCCAAACCAAAATAAGAGTAAGTTCAAGTCTAATACTTATGAACCGATGGAAATGGAGTCTTAAGATTGTAAAGGCGTAGACATGACAAGAAAATTTCATTTCAACAAAATATTATTCATACCAGGCCACCCTTGACTGCGTATAGAAGAATGATACCATCTTAGAAAAAGCATTGGGCCTCGTTGAATATTGATAGGTAACTAAAAATGAAAATTTTATGTGTTTGATAGGTAACTAAAAATGAAAATTTTATATGTTTTGACTATGATGCTAAATTTATTAAAAACTCTAATATTTAAGGGTGTTCAGATTTTAAGAAACATGAGTTTTTTAATGTTTAATATATAACTCTAATTTTTTATTTACTTCGATTTGGATTGATGATGCTCTAAAATCTAGAATATTAGGAAAAAATTTGTTTGTTATGTTTAGATAATGGATAATCACATATTCATTTTTTATAATTGAGGATTTTAGAAATTGATAATGGGAATTGGTGATGAAAATTGGATTTCTTGCAAAATAATTTTTTTTAGGGTTTTAGAAACTTTTCGATAATTAAGTTATTAACTTTATTATAATGAGTTGCAGGAAATGAGTATTAAATTCTAAGAACAAAAAAATTTGTCCTTAATTTATGTATGATAAATGTCGAGAATAAGTTGTAAGAAAGTAAAAATAATGAATATCTTTCTTAGATCGTTCATATGTAAGAAAGTAAAAATAATGAATATCTTTTAGAACTATTTATAACCTTGAAGTTTCCTCTTTCACATCTAAATGGGAGAAAGACCTTTATAATAAATATTAATATTGAATGTAAATATTTTCTTATATGACATTAATTGTTGATGAGACTATCACATGCATATAGAAAATAGTCCTACATCAATTTACATACAATATTAATGTTGGTGAGATCATCTTTTATAATCAATATTTATATTGATTCACAAATGGATAGCTTTTAGAAGATTTTTTAAACAAAAAAAGATGTAAAGAGATAATAACCCTAAATTCTCATCTTAGATGCTTATATCAAAAGGAATCATTGGCTTAAAAGGGCAATGATTTGGTATCTTGGGCTTGATGAGTAATCGAGTTTAAGAAGATTGATTCTTTCATCTTGCTAGACCTAAAAGCATTTGAGTTTGGTACACAGTCGAGCCCAAAAGGATTAAGTCTGGCATCTAGCCATCCTCATAAGTGTTTAGGCATAGCACTTAGCTGAGCCTAAAGGAATTGAGTCTGATATCTTGCCTTACCCATGTTTGTTTGGTCCTAGCATGTTGCTAAGCTTAAGATGGTTGGGTTTAGCATCTTGCTAAACCCATAAATGCTTAGACTTAACGCATAGTCGAGCCTAAAAAGGTTACGTCTAGCATCTCGCCAAACCTACAGGTGTTTAGGCCTAGCGTTTAGTCATGTTTAAGAATATTAGGTCTGGTATCTTGCTAGATCCAAAAGGGTTTGGGTCTAGCATGTAGCTTAGCCTAGAAGAGATTAGACCTATAATTTTACCAAACTCTTATGCTAATGGTCTTGGCCTCTACTGAGCTTTTATAATGGATCTTCTTCCTCTTGATTCTTTTTAAACATTGGCTTTATGAGAGAGAAAAAAGGTTTTTAGCAGAAGATACATCAATCCACAGCAACCCTTTAAGTTTTTGCATATTTAATACGCATAGATATTGCAAAGACCATCTTTATAAATATGTACTCTTTAAAGACAGGCATGCACAATACATGTTTGGATAAAGAAGACATTTTCATCTTCTCGGGGTTGTAAAGCTCCTTTTACAAGAACCTTCCAGTCATGTTTTTCTTTGTCTTTCATCAACTACAGTGTGGTTGCGGTTGGTTATCAAATAGCTTTTCGTATTAAAATGCATGCCATGTTTTTCTTTGTCTTTCATCAACTACAATGTGGTTGCGGTTGGTTATCAAATAGATTTTCGTATTAAAATGCATACTAATGATTTTTTTTATTTTAAAAAAATTATATTTGATATCAGTATATCAAAATGATTTGAAAACACTAAAAATATATTAATTCGAAGTAAATAAAAAAAATAAAAAAAATTAAATGTTTTTAAAAGTATTTTTAAAACATACAAACAAACAATTCCGAGTTGTAAGACTCCTTAAACAGCTAGCGAGTTGTTTAGGCGGGAAGGTTTCTATATAGCTCTATCCCACCTCTTGTTGATAAGACATTTTCTTCTAATAGGAGGAAAATCTTGTTGTTGTGGGGCTGGGACTAGAGGAGTTACATCATGGGAAGGTGCCTCTTTTGTTGGTTGGGGCTTGCTGAGGAGGTGCAATGTAATGTTGCACTTAAGATGCCAGAACACCTTGAGTGAGAGCTTATACCTGGTTAATGAGTTGTTGAAAATTTAGGAGAGCTTGTGGGGTAGATATGCTAGCTGCCGCAGGAAGGTCCGTAACATTCTGCTAATAAATGAACATTACAATCTTGACACAATTGAATACCTCCAACAAGCCATCCTTACCTATGGGCTTATGGTATGCATATCTTAGGTATAGACCAGCCTCCATTAGAGTTTGATCCAACCACAACTTTCGTTAATAAAGAGACCATTGTTGAACTAAGCTTAATCATCAACCTCTTTTGGTGCTATTCTCATGGAGGAGACTGCATTTAGTATAAGTTGAAGTAGCATGTGCTGTCACTTTAACTTCATCTTCATGAACTTTCTGATATTTTTCTTTAGTGTAAACTTACGAACTCGTAGCTCGTTTATCTAGCTAATGCATCGCACATGCATTAATAAATTTAAATTTAATACAGGTTAATACTAAAGTCTTACTGATGCAAAATAATAAATTTAAACAGAGTAAAGAAAAATAGTACAGGTTAATAACAGCTCATAAGATACAAGTGGTTGGAAAAAAATTGCACAAATGGTACAATCTTCAAAATTCTGAGGCACCTTCCTCTATATTTCACATCGAACAAGTCTTAATGTACATATTTACGTCATCAATCCTCCATGAAGCATTGCTGGTTCAACGACCACTGAGGATTGATTCAGAGTCAGACAAGGAATAGGAAGAAATTTCATCTGATGATATAGGGATTGTTAAAACATGTTCTGTAGATGCTTCATTGCCAACTGGAACTAAACCGATTCCTGCACCTTGCAGTGGTAAATCAGGTAAAGTTGCATTTCCATCTAGATATTGCACCGCTTGCCTCATGCTAGGCCTAGCTACTGGAGTGCGTTGTGTACAGAGCAGGCCTAGCTTTAAGACCAACTCCATTTCTTCCTCCACGTGGTTACCTTCAAATCTAGGATCAACTGTCCCAAGAATGGCACCTCTTTTCCAGCATTCAAGTACCCAGTCAACCAGAACAACCTCCTCAGGTGGTCTTTCTGACTCTACAGGCTTCCTTCCACATGCTACTTCGAGCATAAATGTCCCAAAAGAAAAAACATCGCTGCAGGCAGTTGACCTACCTATTCTAGTGATCTCGGGTGCAAGATATCCAACTGTTCCAACCACATTGGTTGTTTGGGGAGTTGATCCATGGTCATCAAACTTAGCAAGCCCAAAATCTCCTAGCCGTCCGTTAAGATCGGCATCTAATAGAACATTGCTAGCTTTCACATCTCTATGCAGAACAACCTGTTCCCACTCTTCATGGAGGTAAAGAAGGGCAGATGCTACTCCCCTGATGATTTGATATCGCTGCGCCCAATTGAGGTTTGGTTTTTCTTTACAAAATAGGAACTTGTCGAGGCTTCCGTTAGGCATATAATCATAGACCAAGAGAAGCTCTCCTTTCCGCCGACAGTAGCCTAAGAGCTGTACCAAGTTCCTATGCCTTAGCCTCCCCATGGTGGCAATTTCAGCTACAAATTCCTTCATTCCCTGGTTCGAATCATGAGTGATTTTCTTGACTGCAATTTCCACCTTGGAAGGACGTAATTCTCCTCTGTAAACCCTTCCAAAACCTCCATATCCAAGGAGTCCTTTGTCTTTGAAACCTTTAGTTGCTTTGTAGAGTTCCTTGTAGCGAAACCTTTGAGGACCGTATTGCTGCTCCCAGTCTTCGTGTACTTCTTCATATCTCTTTCTCATAATGTACATAGTTGCAAAACTTGCTACGAGTAAAACAGATACTGTTATCAATGGGATCATAATTCGTAAATATAGTTTGTTAGTTGAATTTCTTTCAGGAGGAAGTGAAGGGAGCTTTGAAGTGTCTAGGCTCTGTGCTTGCCCACTTTTGTTGAAGCTCCATCCAAGAATATAGTGATGACTGGATACAGAACCAGTGGATGAGGAGAAACCAACGTACATGGACTCCAAAACAACTTCAGAGATATTAATAGGTGTTGACAAGAGAGGCTTTTGAGGTTTCATGATACTTACAGGAGCTAGTGTTACGTTGAGTAGCTTCTCCATTTCATCATAGTCTATCCACGCTCGCATTGGGTCCCCACTTAAGAGCTGCAAGCTTTCATTTTCCCATTCATGTTTTGAAAAGTATGATGCTGGAGCAGATTGAATGGATGTCAAATTGTTGACATCTATCCCAACATGATTGTCTCCGATATCTCGAAATTCAGGGCTTCTCGCAGCATCAAGCTCAATGGCAAGCAGGTGATTTGAAGATAAACCGACTGTGGTAGATTTAAAGAGACCAAGATACTGAGTGGCAGTGGCACCCTTGAACTCTGTAGATGGAGAAATAGTAAATGCAATGCCATGTCCACCACGCGTAGGCGTCTCGGGAATCATGGCAAACACAAAGTTCGTAGAAAATGAAAGGGACCTAGAACTGTTGGGGAAAGATGATTTGAAATGGAAGGGAAATGGGAAGAAAGCATGACCAATTTGCTGCTTTGAAGTGTTTGTCAGTTCCAACAAGCCATTGGGGTGAATACTTGCAATCCCGTTGAGGCTCAGGTTGGCTCCCGTGAAGCCATGGTAAATGAATTGGTTTACCTCTTGAGCCAAAGCCAAGTGTTTTATATGAAAAGAGCTAGAAGAAAATGGAGTGATCTAAGTAGGGCTTCCATTGAGAAAATTAAAGACAGAAGGTGATGCTTGCTTATTCAGCCTTTTAAGAACTTCTGTGATATGAAGCTGTAACCTTTGCTGCGTTTACATTCGAATCCTTCAGCCAAAACATCGACATGCTTTGCACAGATGCAACGTCAGCAACTTGGACTTGAGAAAAGTAATGACAATATAAAACACTGTGCGAGTGAAGTTAGAAACAGCTTGCGACTGCTAAATGGCTCTCCAGGTCCCACACAAAGACAATTCTAGAACAAAAAAAAAATATTATTCAAGGAAGCACATCAAGAATATTTTAACTAGATGAATTATAACACTTCAACTACATATAGTTGACATTCAGTGCTCGAGCTTGTTCTAACGAATTAAGGGACAGAAGTTTCAGTATGAAATTGCAATTTGTCAATCATAGGCGGTTCTTTTTTTAAAACAAGTAGAACAACTTATATGTTGTCTTGGAAGATGAGATATGGTATGAAATAGATTTTGGCAACTTGAAGAAAAAATGAGAGTTTTGGTTGCTCTAAGCTTGATGCCACTAATTTAAACTGATGTTCCTCCCATTGTGGTCAAGTTTCTACAAATGCAGGCATCTGAAGTCCAATGTTGTCAGCTTTGAATTTTCATGACAAATAATAGTAGAAGAATTAAGGGGATTTTTTTAAAATTCTTTGACTTGTCCACAGAAAAAAATAAATAAAGTAGTAATGACCTCATAATATTGACAGTTGCTCCTCCCCTTCAAGTCCCAATTATAAATTCAATGACATGCTGAAGATAATATTTAGTCTGATGTCATCCCTGATTAATTAGGATGCTACAAACAGTCACCTGTCGGGTTCGGTGAATTCCTTTACAAGAAATGATGTTTCACCGTCAGATACATGTTTGAAAAATGGGAACAGCTTTATCGAGGAAAAACATGTTGAGGCGTTACAAAACCACGGGAACATGCACGATAACTGATCCCAGTCCCGGTGGTCTCTTTTCACGCTCCTGTAATAGAAGTTTAAACTAGTATCTGGGAAGGACATGTGACAGCGATCGTGAGCAACGTCGTTTTGGTATTTTCCCAGGGCAGTTCTCTGGTTTTGGTAGTCATTTTAGGTACTTAATCGTATCAGTTCACCATCGGCTAAGAGTCTAAGACTGTTAGTTTTTCTGTGAGTATAATGAAAAACAAGTGCATGGCATCAATCTTCCTGCCAGAATGATCGAATCGTAGCCCCACCACCATGATGTCCCTTTTTGAATATCTGCTGTGTAGTTTATATTAAGTAATTAGCAGCATTAATGAACTGATAATCTTAATTTAACAGCATTGAATGTAAACATTTTGTTACTGTGTTCTCTCTCCCTGTGTGTAATGTTCGCAGTCAAAAAATAAGGCAAAATGCACCTTACGATCAACAGAGGTCAGTTAATTGATGTTCATAAAACAGTAGTGAAAGAAAATTGCTATTCCTCGTGATTTCCAGAATTCCATTCCGTCCACTTTGCCACTGATATTGAGCTCACCCGCTGCTCAAAAGTGAGCCATTAGAGATAAATCCCATCAGGTTATTTAACATCGCTGATTGAAACTACCACTCTGATGATTGAATTAGTTTCAGATGAGGAATAGGAAGAAATGTTACATTCAGTGCAGGGATCCACAAAATACAATCTCCAATTACTTATCGCTAATTCTAAGCAATTATCGCCACCATCATTGGCAAACTACTTATTGTCATATATAGAATTTGGTGCGCTGAATGGCAAAAAAAAAAATATTATCCATCGAATTCCCCATTCAGTTGGTTTGAAGTATCCTTCCATGATTTTCTTCTTCAATAACTGCAACGACAAGATATCCCATGAGCAAAAGGAGGTGTTCCTGAAGTAACAAATTATACTGCAGATTTTAGCCCTAATAGCAGGTAACATGAGCAAAAGGAGGTGTTCCTGAAGTACTTGTCAACAAATTATACTGCAGATTTTAGCCCTGATAGCAGGTCAGGACAACCTTTTAACAATAGTAACTATGATAAAATCATGTTACTACCTATAATCCATTCTGATTAGAGCAACTCTCCACCAATATTTCTAATTAATTGCACTACTAGAGAATGAAGGAAAAATTAAGTTACCTTCATGAGCATCGATTGAGATGGGGATATTTGAGGATGAGTTCTTAGCTGAATGGTAAACTGTAGGTTGGGGGGACTCTGAGCCCCGAAGAAGAGAGTTGACAGCATCTTTCACCTTATCCACCATACTCATATCACCAGAAGCTTTTCTTGGACTTATTGCTTGAGATATCACTTGAGAAAGTGCTCTGTCATCTTCTCCTGGCTCAAATTTGTGGATTATATACTCCTTCACTGAAACTCCTTTATCCCATTTTTGCTCCCCGGTTCTGAAATGGTAACCAGATGCTGCATCTGTTGGGGCTCGGGCTGGATCTGATGCAACTTGGTCTGGTGCTCCTTTGGTTGGTACTGCTACAGATGATGATGCTTTGCCTTCGCCCGCAGGGTCCAATCCTGCTGCATCTGATGCTTCAGGGGTTGAATTAGCAAGGCTTTGAATCTTGGAAGTTATGGCATGGGTGGCATCAGATACTGTGGCGCATGCTGGTGCCAGCTTCTCTGCCATAATTTCGGATAATGTCTTGGAAAGGTTCTCATTTTCGTGTTTCCCGTTCACGGTTTCAGTTACTGGCTTGTCTTCAGCACAGGTCACACTACTAGGCAAAACATGCTTCTCTGGTATCACAGGAACTGCTCTTGGATGCTGTCTAGCTGCCTCCGTGTACCCCTCAGGAGCCATCTCTGATTCGTACACTGAGAGATCATGTAGACAAGTTAATTAAATACACATTCATTTAGGCAAATATTCCAAAGAAATTTTTCTCTCTTTAGATTTTATGGTGTTCGTACGTGGCGCTCCAAGATATTCAGTATCTTCTTCAGCTTCATCATTATCCAGGCTAACACCCCATGGAGGAGTGGTGTTACTGTCATCACTATGCTTCTTTTTTATGAGATTGCTTCGCCATTTCTTGGCCTTCTCCTTCACTTTAGCAATAACTGATTTCTTGTGATTGGGGGATTGATCATACTCCAGGTCATGGTCCTTCCAAAAAGTTGGTGAGGAGTGTGGTGACCACCTAGATACTTCCTCAGCTGCTCATGCAAACCTCATAGGTCAGAAGTGACAGGAACATGAATTTTCGTGACTTTGGTATCAATTAAAAGCATTTATTTTTCACAAACAAATTACGTTGTAAGCTAAATTAAAACACATATGTTATCAATTCTCAATATCTAAAGAAAGTGTTGATGTATGAACTGAACATAAACAAATCCTAAAATATTCTTAAGCTCCCGATAAGCAATAGCTCAACCACTTGTTATTCCCATTTCCTATTACACTCGAGTTCAAGCCTCCTTGGAGAAACAGAACCATTAAGCCTTTCTTCTATCATGGAAGGTTATATTAGAGTTTATGCAATTACCTCGTAGAAGTTCTTCCACGGTTGGGCTGGTTGGAGTTCTAGGGCCGTTACCATGTCTGTGCCTGAATGCAATTGGAGCCATTGCTCCAGTACGTGATTGAGGGTGCGCCATCATTTCCTTCAGCGTTGCGTTTCTCCCCAAATGTCCATCCTTTTTTCTGCATCTCTTATTACAGAGAGCGAAATTTAAGAGAACGGAGGACGCCCAAGCATCTCTTTCCCGGAGTTCTTGCACAGGCAGTGAACAAGAGCCGCATGTCATCTGTGGTAAAAGCCAAAAGGTAGAGAGACTTGTGGGCTCCAATTTTACATGTGGCAATAAGATAATGCAATTAAATTGATTGCAATTGTTTGTCACAAAAAGTAACCACTTGCTGAAATAGCAAGTTGACTAAGCCTGCATGAATGTTTCCCCTTTTGTAGTCTTATTGGCTTCAAAGAGGTATTTCCTCTTGCATGGTCGCCTTGATCGACCACAGCAAAACACTAGCCACCATGGTCCATGGTTAAAAAATGCAGCCCGCCCGCCCGCCCGCCTTTTTTCCAGATCATAATCATATGCAGAAGGCGACAACCATCCTAACCCTGACTATCGCCATCAATTTAGCTGCGCCCCGCTTTGTCTCACTACATTGTCTCGAACACACAAACTTTGGTTATAAGAGCGTGAGCATCAAATCCAAAACAATAACCAAAGCATGAAGAGATACAAAATTTATGAACAAGTAAATTCTTCGCATGTTAGACTTCTCTCATATCAAATTCACTTCAAATAAGCACAAGCTTCTATAGGAAAAGAAAAATCACAACCAAATCTATATTTTTTTGTAGATTCTTCTCAAGCCTTTGGCTGTTTCTATTTAACTCAATTCAACTTTAATCCCAGATCGCTCGAGGTCTGGTGGAACTACATTGTGACCTTCCATCATATTTCTTGTCCAAGAAAAAAAAGTAATTGCCACGCTCGAGGTCTGGTGGAACTACATTGTGCCCTTCCATCATATTTTTTGTCCAAGAAAAAATGTAATTGCCAATAAACGAAGAAAAAAAAAAGTTTACATTACATGAAAATGTATGCCCCTCATGAAACTTCCTTGTACCAAAAGCTAAAGATTGAAGGGGACAGCCAAACCAAAACGAGAGTAAAAGAGCGAGGAAAAGCAGAAAGACAATGAACAAAAAAAATGATGGAATCTCATTACAATCTAAACTTTTTAGGGAATAAGTCAGTAATTCATCTATGAGATTTTTCTTTCCTTTTCTCCCTTCTCGAGAATCTCTGGATGTTCCCATATAATTTTTTTACCTCCATGATGCTTTGACTATTTGGATCTCACTGGTGTTGAATAATCGATGACTGTCTTCAGTGGCAGGATGGAGTAAAATAAATGAGGGGGAAACGTGAGAAAAATACAAGGATGAAGGTGACAACTAAAATAAGCAAACTTTTGGAGGGGGTAATTGATATAAACCTTAGACATATGGGGTCAAAATAACTTTCGAAAAATAATAGAGGGGCGTGGGGGGTGTTGGGGATGGCTCGCACCCTGCCAAAAGGTGCAGCGCCCGCCTTGGCTATTTTAGTAATTCATGGGACACACTGCATTTCATGGTTCTGCTTCTATTCTGATGGAGGCCAAATCTTAAGAGCACAACAAACTAGTGGCTAGCAGTTTGCTTCACCGGCAGTGCATCATGTTATTTCTTCCTCCCATTCCCATAGTTCATCATACACAATCACCCATCCGCACTCTTTTGTATGGCTGGATCAAAAGAACAGACTTGAAATCTGTAACCTTGACTCATCCTTTCAGACAGTTGATTTGAGAACTGTCTAAAGTAAATCCATCATTATTTCATGCCCCGTACAATAATCAAAGCCAATTACGATCGCAAATTTGCGAAGTCCATTGTGCATTCTCAATAATATAGGAAAGAAGATACACTAAGTGGTTTAAAATGCAGCTTTATGGAAAATTTCTTACCATTTTTTCTCACCTAAATAGCTGATCACTCCTGTATGCTAAAAGCAAACCAGGTAAAAAGTTCTGTCAGCCACTGCCTGACAATGACTGTTCAAAACCAGCTACTATTCTGCTGCAATGACACTGGGCTGGATATTGCAAGAAAAAAACCAGGCATCCGTTCTCTCAAGTCCAACTATAACCAGGCTTCTTCCTTAGCCCTCTATCACACATCAGTTTCCGTATATCTGCTGCATCGTCCCAATTACCCTCCACAGTCAATACACTGGATAGCAGTACATATGTCGCTGGATCATTAGGCCAGAGCTCTAGAAGCTTTTTTGCAGAACGTGCAGCAATCTCTCTATTTCCATGAACCAGACTAGCACTAAGAAGAGCTTTATAGACTGAGGGCGCTGGTACTATAGGCATACTATTAATGAAGGCTTCCGCCTCATTAAGATACCCAGCTCGACCAAAAGTATCTACAAGACTGGCATAATGCTCTACTTCAAGGGGTTCTAGCAAAATATCACTTTTCATCGCGTCAAAATACTCAATTCCCTTATCCACAAAACCAACATGGCTACAAGCACACAACACAGCAAGGAAGGTAGAACTATTCGGCTTGATTTCAGTTTTTCTCATTTGTTCAAACAATTCCACAGCCTCTCTGCCATACCCATGATGAGCAAATGCTGTTAGAAGTGCATTCCATGAGATCACATCATGTTCCTCCATGAACCAAAAGACCCTCTTTGAATCACCGATGGCTCCACATCTCGCATACATGGAAACAAGCCCGTTTTGAACATTCAAGTGTGAAATATAGCCAGTTCTGTGAATGAGAGCATGCATTGCCTTTCCCTCTTCAAGAAATGAACTATTCCCAATTGCTCCTACCACGCTTGTTAACGTGTAAGAGTCTATATCAATACCAGCCTGCTTCATTTCATGGAAACATCTGAGAGCTTCCTCATGACGCCCTAATTTAGAGTAACCAGCAATGACTGCATTCCAAGCTATATTGTCACATGTAATAATAACTGAGCACACCTTCTTGAAGTCCTCTAAACTACTACTACACTTTGAATACACGGTGACCAGTGTAGCTGCTATATACACATTAGACTCTAAACCTAATTGAATTATACAACAATGAACTTGCAAGCAATAACTTAAACAATCAGGACCAGAAAATGAACTTAGCAAGCTGTTATAGGTTACACAATTTGGCCTGAGATCCTGACGCACCATTTCTTTAACCAAAGCCATTGCTTCATCAGGTTTTTCAATCTGTGAATACCCAGTAACCATAGAAGTCCAAGTAATTACATTCCTATTCACCATATGATCAAAAACCAGCCTGGAATCATCAACATCGCCACACTTTGAGTACATATCAACCAAGCTCGTCCCCACAACAACATTATAACCCAATCCAGTTTTCAAAATTAGCCCATGAACCTGAGTCCCGACTTCTCTGTCCTCTAATTGCGAGCAACCTGCCAGACAACTCGAAACACTAAACGCTGACACATTTATAGCAGCTTTTAACATCTTGATAAACAATTCAATAGCTATTTTCGGACAATTGACAGCCAAATACCCGGAAAGCAACGAATTCCACGTAACAACAGTTCTTTGAGGCATTTGATCAAACAATACTCGTGCACTTGAAATTTCGCCGCATTTGGCGTACATATCAACGACAGCACTACAAATGTACACGTTTGAAATAAAACCCAATTTGAGAATAGTTGAGTGGGCTTGAATGCCCAAATGGAAAGAACCGGATTTGGCACAAAAGGACACGATTTTGTTGAGAAAGTAAGGATTACATAGAGAGCCATGTCTCGTGAATTCAGCAATGAGATCAGAATCAACTGGGCTTGATGTGTTCTGGTTGTTGTTGAAGGTGCGGCTGTTACTGTGTTCCTTATGGTGGTTGTGGCTTGTTAAAGCGCGGGAAAGCAGGTGGTTGGCGGATTTGGATACTTTCAGTTTCCGTAGGGGAGAAGCGGAAGAACACAAGCTCATTGCCTTCGTTCGTTCAAATGTGAAATGAAAGCCCAGCTGATTTTCAGGTTCAGGTCAGTCTGTCTGTATCTGTCCATCTTCCAGCCCATAATCCTTTTCCGTCTGATTTGCGTCCTGATCCGAGTTTTTCCTAAGCGGTGACTTTTACGTTTCCTGAAGATTTTCTTTCTTTTTCTCTTTTTCTTTTTCTTTTACTTTTTTCTTTTCCAAGTCCAAGACTATTTTTGGATAACTTTCATTAAAATGTCATCTAAAATTTCAGTAATTTTACTATTTTAAGTTTTTTAAAATACAACATCCATCTACTTCTCAAGATAAAATGTTTTATTATTACATACTCTATAAATCTTGTTAACAAAAAAAATAATTAAAAAAATATTAACATTAAAATTTTAAGTTAAAATTATCCAAATTATCCTTAGTGCTAAAAATAAAACATCTTAAACTAAAAACTTTAAAATACGAGATATTAGGTTTTATTTTTAATTTTCATCTTAAGTTAACATGATTTAAAATATAACAAGATATATTAAATAGATTATATATTCTTTTCAAGATGTATTTGAGAATGTTTTTTTTATGTTCAGATAATCTTAATATTCTACTCATAAGATATTAATAGGATTGTCTTTGGTGTTTGTTTTTGTGTTATTTCTACCTTTGAGTAAGATGAATACATAATTTTTTATATGCTAAAGAATTAATATAAATACTTGAATTATTTATATAGAATTTGATTATGTTTCTTGGTGATTCTTATATTATTATTTATTCTTTGTTTATGATTAAACATAATCACTTATTGAAATTAAATATTTGATATGAACCATTATATACGTCTGAATTGATAGCTTCTCATTTAATTAGTGTCGTGAGTTGAACTTTGATTTATGAATTTATCATGTTATTATGATATGAACATATATCATGTCAATCAAAATACTCATGCTAACAAGGTAGTATTAGTTTTTATACACATTATATTTGAACCCTAATTAATCAGGGGAGTCATTAACTTGTAATGATTGATTATCTCACAGTACAAAGCGTCATGCTCATTACATTTTGATTTTCTGATGAGTTTTATCTTATAATATTCTTGCTATGGTCTATTTGAAAAACTTTCATGTAAGAACTTAAAGTCTTGTTTGTATATATATTTCTAATTATTGTGTTACCTCGTATATGTATATTAAGTATTAGTTACTCATTAATTTGTTGAACTCATCTTCTTAATATTTTTCTTTTCAGGCTTACAGCTTGTTAACAGGTTATTATAGAAATACTTATTCTTTTTTTATGATTAAGCATGATCACTTATTGAAATTAAATATTTGATATGAACCATTATATATTTTGAATTGATAGCTTCTCATTTAATTGATGTCATGAATTGAGCCTTGATTTATGAATTTATCTGTGTTATTTTGATATGAACCTATATTATATCAGTCAAAATACTCATGTTAACAAGTATTTAGTCTTTAGACAAATCATATTTGAATTCTAATTGATCGGGTGAGTCACCAACTTGTGGTTATTGATCATCATATAGTACAAAGCGTTATGCTCATTGCATTTTGATTTTCTTATAAACTTTATCTTATGATATTAAAAACTTTCATGTAAGAATTTAAAGTCATATTTGTATATATATTCTTAATTTTTATGTTACCTTGTGTATGTATATTAAACATAAGCTACTCATTGAGTTGTTAATCTCACCTTCTTATTATTATTTTTTTCAAGTTTATAGCTTGTTAATAGGTTATTATAGAAATACCTTACATTGATTATGATTTTTTCCTGTATTATAAAAATAGCCTCTTTAAAAATTTTTCACTTAAACTCTTAAAGGATTATAATTTTTTAAAATATAGCAACACTCTCTCAAATAGTAGATAATATAACTGGAGCTTATATCTCTATAACTCACTCAATAGCACTTAGAATGTATAAAGGTTTTTAGCCATAATGAGTGTAAGAATTTATACTTTTGTGCAAAAATATGAAAGTTTTAATGCACAAATATGAATATGATTTAGGATTAATAATTTTAAAATTGCTTTTTTATCTTAAAATAGCTTGTATGTGATATATATTTAAATTTGTTTTTAATTCTTTAATTAGACAAATATATATATATATATATATATATATATATAATTCTAGCAAAAAGTACTTATTTATAATCGTTATTACTCCTCCGACAACTCAAATAGTCAATCGGTTCAAATTGGTCAAGCTAATTGGTCGACCATTTCCTATAGATTCGCAGGTGTTCATCCCTAATGAACAAGCGGTTGATCGATTCACTTGGTATAACCAAGCAGTCAACCGGTTTAACTTAAAATTTAGATTTAACAGTTTTAAACCTGATGAATCTTTGCTAGAGCTGAGCATTTCTGGTTCGGTCCAGTTTTAAACCAAAATAAACAACCAATCTAATTTTTTAAATTTTTGAACCAAATCGAAAACCGATTCAATCCAAATAATTTTGGTTTGGTTTGGTTTTGTTCCCTTCCAAACCAGTTCAAACCTAATGGTCTTCTACCAACACTATTCATCCTCTTCCTCCTATGGAATACAAGAACCTGCCTAAAAAAGAAAAATAAATGTTGGCCTCTATTCAAACCATCAACACAACCAAATCCAATCCACATTGTAGATCAGGTTGTCTTCCATAAATCCCATTGTTCAAACCGATTAATTTCAGTTCGGTTTGGTTTGATTTTTTTCCTTTCCAAACCGGTTTAAACCCAATAGTCCTCTACCAACATTGTTCATCCTCTTCCTCCTCTGGAATACAAGAACCCGCCTGAAAAAGAAAAGTAAATGTTGGCCTCTATTCAAACCATCAACACAACCAAATCCAGTCCACATTGTAGATCAGGTTGTCTACCACAAATCCCATTTTGTTTCAGTTTCCTTCACCCCACGATGCGTCATTAATGTTAAGGAAACTCATCACCAGATCCAACAAAGGGAAAACCAAAAACCAGAGAGGGGAAGAACAAGAAACAACAAGAAAAGGAGAGAGAGGATCGGGGTTCCATCCACCAAATCCAACAAAGAAAAAACCTAAAAATCAGAGAAGGAAAGAACAAGAAACAACAAGAAAAGGAGAGAGAGGATCGGGGTTCCATCCACCAAATCCAACAAAGAAAAAACCTAAAAATCAGAGAAGGAAAGAACAAGAAACAACAAGAAAAGGAGAGAGAGGATCGGGGTTCCATCCACCAAATCCAACAAAGAAAAAACCTAAAAATCAGAGAAGGAAAGAACAAGAAACAACAAGAAAAGGAGAGAGAGGATCGGGGTTCCATCCACCAGATCCAACAAAAACAAACAAACACATATCTCTTATAAAAAAGTCATTGTTGATTAATCTCTACTTTCTTAAAAACCCGTGCTTTCCAGGAAGAAGCCACAGCAAGACAAAAATCTCATAGATAGTAGAGGAAGGGGAGAAAAATCAATGTGGAGAGTAAAGTGAGAGATAATGAGATATGCAGAGAAGGGAGGGGAGGGGGGCAGCTAATGGGTAAATGTTACTTTAGGGTTAGAATATTCTATTTATAGTTGTTTTTTTAAGTGATGGCTAGTTGAACCGGTTCGGTTCAGTTTGGTTCAATCGGTTTTAGACTTTAGAAACTAAAACCGAACCGAATCGGAATTTTTTTATGATTTTTTAATCTGTTAATTCGGTTTTTTTCAATTCGGTTTTTTCGGTTATTTTTTTCTGATTTTTTTGGTTTATCAGTTTTTATGCTCACCCTTAATCTTTGTATTTCAATCTTATAGTGCACGCAATGTAAAGTATGTGAATTTATTTTAATTTGTAATATAAAGTAAAATATAAAGATTTACATGATTTGCACTAAAATGAATCCTTAGAAACTAAATCTTCACCTTCTTTACGTCTTAAACTTGTTGATTGATTTCTTTATTTAATTCTTCATGTTTATGGATATGATATTCATATGAAATCTATTTAAATTTATTTTCAACCAAGCATATCATTAATCTATTTTTATTCAATTATCATTAAAATATATAAATATTAATTTGTAATCCAAAGATCAACAATTACAACTTCCAAAAAAGTCGTTATAACACCTAATCTCATGTGGTTTTCTCATTAATGGCTATTTCCTTGTAAACATGTCCTCTTAAAAAGCACCTGCCTTCCTTACCAATAACGCTCGAGCGTTAACTTTTTTACAATTGACATAATAAGACGTAACAACTAATAGCTCAAAATTGAAGATGAACTAAAATATGAATATGAATATGAACTAAAATAATAAGATACAATAATTAATATAATAAGACACAACAACTAATAATACTCACAAGCATTATTTATTTATTTATTGTAAAATTGAATATGAACTAAAATATGAGGACTTTTTATTTTTAACATCCCGACAATCACATGGCATGGTAATTGAAACAAATTTGTAGGCCAAAATCCAATATAACACAGTGCATTAGGCTAAAAAAATTGATGACTAAATTATATAAAAAAAAACACCTTAAAATCTAAAAAAGACAAAACACTGTTATTCGAGAGGATTGGAAATGAAATCAACAAATCTCTTAGGTTTCTTTTAATTTATGCAAAAGCTCTTCCTGTTTCTGCTACTGTTGCGGCAGAGAATAGCAGGAAATAACCAAAACCCTTCAGCTCTCTTTCGGCCTCGGCTACCCCTCAAAACAAAATCCGCAGCCTTTTGCTTTCATATTTGTGGCAAAAATAAGGAAATGAGTTTTGTTTTTCACGCAATATAATGAAGAGCAATTTGCCCACTCTTATACTACAAAAGTCTCATGGCATAAAGTGCTTCATTCCTTATCCTCTGCCCAACGTTTCTTTAACTCGTGGTCACATGCATGGCTATCTTTATTCCTTGTGAATTTGAGGTTGAGATAAGGATTATTTTTTAAAATATTTTTTATTTAAAAATATATTAAAATAATATTTTTATATTTTTTAAAGTTTATTTTTGATATTATCACACTAAGATTATTCAAAAATACTAAAAGTTAATTTTAAAAAAAAACATTTTAGAAAAATAATTTTCCTGCTGCAAAAACAAACAAGTTCAGATTCTTTCACCATATTCTCCATCAACTTTTAAGAGAATTTGTTGTCCAAAAGAAGAGAAGCCCTTTGATTAAAAGAGAACAGATTGTTCCAACTTCACTTTCTTAGAATTCTCCAATTGATATCCGAATGTTATCATCACTGGCATATGATAATTATATAAAACTCTACTATCCAATTTTTGCGTTTTAAACACAATTTACATAAGAACAAGGAGATGATTGTTGCATGAGATGTGGAAGCAATTTCTTTTTTTATTTGAACTCGGAAACCTGAGTTGAAACCCCAAATTAAAAGTTTTTTTTTTGTTTTGGCTAAGGAAAAAAAATTAAATAAAAACCTGCCATTTCTTACGTCAAGAATTTAGAACAAAACATTGCAATTCAGTTCTTGCTAATGATTTTCCAGCTTTTAATTTAAGATTGCATAGACTTGAGGCTAGAATTAGATTGTGGATTGGAGAATTGTTCTGGTTGTTTTTTAAAGTGTTTTTTACTCAGAAAAGTATATTAATAATATTTTTTTATTTTTTAAAAATTATTTTTGAAATCAGTATATTCAAATAATTTAAAAATATCAAAAATACATTAATTCAAAATAAAAAATTTTAATTTTTTAAAAATTATTTTTAAAATGTAGTGTTAAACATATTCTTAAAACACTACTATTTGTTCTATAAAAGTTAAGCATGCACGGTTATCAGTGATTCATAATATTTGATATAATTCAGTTTTTTTTTATTTTAGAATTTCATTCGTTAAAAAAAATCAGAAAAATAATATAATTTATAATTAATTAAGGATAACATCAACTCATTGCATGTGTCATTAACTACTTTCTTAAATTGTCACAAATTACAACGAAAATAGGAGGGAAAGAAAGAAAGAAAAAAACCTTAAGTTTAACTTATCAAAGCTCCTATAATAATATTATTAAAATCATTAAAAAAATCTAAAAATTTCAACAAGATAAATTTAATAATATCATTAAATAAACTACAAGAATCATCTAAAAATAAATAAGTTACTTGTTACTTTTAATAATGAACACATCAAAATTTTAATGATGATAACATTCATTCCATCAAAAAAATCTAGTTGAGCTACAAAAATAATATAGAGATAAATGAATCATTCCCTATCTTTAACAATATATATATATATATACATATATATATATATATATATATATATGTATATATATATATATATTGTTAAAGATAGGGAATGATTCATTTATCTCTATATTATTTTTGTAGCTCAACTAGATTTTTTTGATGGAATGAATTAATACAAGTGGCTTACAACTTGTAGATATCATGGGCAACTTGTTAAATCGGTTATTTCCTTAAATATTTTTAAATTATGATATTTTATCATTTTTTTTTATTTTGCTAGTATCCAAAGTAAAACTCATTGTGATTCAACAAATACAAAGGTGACTTGTTATAATTAGATTGTATTGTTTATTTTATGAAAAGTAATTTTTTAAAAATTTCTTAGGTTTATTTACCATTAGAAGAATTAGTTCATAAAAAACACATTTAAGTGAGAGAAAAATTTCACTTGATTTTAAAAAAAAAATTATCTTTATTTTGAGTGGAATATAATTTATAAAAGTTACAGAAAATTAAAAAAAAATCTTATTATTTATTTATTAAATCAAATTTCTTCCTCAATTTTTAATTATTATATATATGGAATACTTTTTATTTTTTTTTAACTTCATCCCTTAGAATTTGATATAATTTTATTTTTATATTAACTTTAATTCCTTTTTAGTAATTCTTATTTATTTTTCTTTCATTTTTTTATTTTTTATCAATTATATTTAATTCACATTCTTCTCGTTGCTTTACTAAACTTTTTACTGCAGAGAGGGGGGAGCAATTTCAGAGACAGGAAAAATTCAGAATATCCACCCTTTCCCTAAATAAAAAGTACATAAAACATCTCAACAGATTTCAACAGCTGAGAAATTAGCAGAGCCATGGGGGACGAATTCAAAAGTGTCCAGGATAAAAAATGAGGGGTTGATCCTGCCCTGTTGTCTAGAAGCCATTGTATATCAACAACCATCCTCGTCTGACAGGTGGTTTCTTCTGTCAAAATAGGAAGTTTAGTTATATAAATCCTTGAACAGCAGCATTTGATGCATATTTTATGAACCCATGGTTTAATTGCCTGTTAGTTCAATAATTAATATTTTCAATACATTAACTTCGTACCTGCAGCAACCAGCATTAGATCAAAGCCTATTCAAAATATTTCCATGATTCAACAAGACTCTTATGTTAATACTCCCCCCTCAGAGATAGAGATAGTGCCATTATTACAAGCTAGGAATTTAAGACCTACAACTCAATTTCACGTCCGAAAAGTCAAATGTATAATTTCCCTCATAAGAGTAAACAATAATTTAAACATGGCAGAAATGCGAACAAAACATTCAAAATAAAAATAGAATCTTCCATAAGGAAAATTTCCACCAAAATTTAAAAAGGCTTCCAATAAAAGTTCAATTTTTCAGCGTTAATACAAGTACACGCAGCTACTAAGTTCGATAATCAGCAAACTTTCAAGACAACTAGAAATGAATAAGAATTAGAGGTAAAAACAGAGAGGTAAAAAGGTAAAGCTGACAGGCTGACTTTGCGTAGCGTTCCTTTAAAGATTTGCTATGTTACCCTAAAAGAAAGTTCAACATATCCAATAATACAAAAAAAAAAATAGCATTTATCAATTGAAGAACTAGTTAAGAATGTAAGCTATGACTTATCAATGTGGAAGTGGCAATAAGTAATATGTGAGATTCCGGCTGCCATCAGGTAACCACAGTTAGAGATATATTCAAAGAAGGATTGCAAAGTTTTCCTGCGAACCCTCTAATGTCTTGGATATGCCTCCACGCATTTCTTCCTGCGAACCCTCTAATGTCTGTGAAAAGCGGAAGTATCAGCAACTCACAAGAGTTACATCAGGTTGCTCAATCTCCAGAATCTACAGAAAAAGGGATAATTTATAAAAAAAAAAAAAAAAAATAGCTCTCAGCCAGTCAGCTAAAGGTCCAATAACAGAAAGTATGCAATTAGCAGGGATGGGAATCTTGGAACCTGTAATGGGGACCTTATTGAAACAAAGGTAGGCTACAAACCTGCAAGTTCAAAGTTAGTGCAAGTCTGAATCAAAGGGCATCAAAATCAGCTCAAAGAGATCGCACTACTTGGCAAGATACGGCTAGTCGGCTATATAATTCATTCTCAATACAAGAAAAATAAAAGAAAATGATTAACGATCACTCCAGCATAAGTACTGCATCAAATCATGAAATATAAATACCTTATTTTTTGCTGGAAAAAGCTTTTTTCTTTTCTTTTTTGGTACCTGATTGACTTGTGTCATAGAAAAAGAAAAGCAAAATTCTAACCATACTAAATCGATCTGCACATAAACCATCACATAACAACATTATGCAAAATAGAATCGAAAGGACAAAAGAGAGGGGAAAATGAATTGTAAACCCAAATGTATAAAAAACATCATTCAAAATACATAGGCTGATTGGCAGACCTAAAAGTTTTGAGACGAAGGTAGGACGGCGACGGATGCAGCAAAATGCACCTCCCAGCATCTATAGACGGGCCTACTTCAGTACAAGGGTGCAAATTAACATATATTTCAACTAGCAAGTTTTTTTTTTCCCTCATCTTCGAAATAAGCTCTTTCAGATTAAGGGTCATGACAATGGAAGTATTAAGTAGTCATGAAAAAGCTTGAATTTTTATTTTTTTATTTTTTGTTAACAGTGATGCTAACATGCATACGGACCATCAATATTCGACTGTCACTCCCCCAGTTATAACAAGTATTATCAGCCAAGGGGTTTGTGGATGCACGAACTGTAAGCATAATGTTTTGTTATTATCATCTTAAGGAAGTATATCTGCAGGCATGATAGTGGAAGACACTGGAGAGGATGGATGCACTAACCTCTTTTTTCTCTTTCTCTATAGCGTGCCAAAAAATAAATATCTCCTCCCAACATCACATGTTGTCATTAGGTGCAACTTGATGAGGATGATGCGTGTATGAACCATAATGATTCCCATTCCAATCCCTCTGCTGAAACATATGACCATGAGCAACATTTCCATTATACCCGTTTTGATGACCATTAATACTAACTTGGTGATGCTGGTGGTTATCACTACTATTATGATGACCGTTGTTATTCCCCATTTGCATCCCCATATGTCCATATACTGGCATTGGCATCATCCCACCCGCCGTGGCAGGGTGATGATAAGGCATCGGAATTGGGATTCCAAAATTCCCATTTCCGCCGCCGCCGCTACTCTCGGGAAAACTCTGCGGCAAAGGAGTGGACGCAAACAACTGATCAGAAGCAGAAGGTCCTTCACTCGACAGCCCCTGCATCCTCTTCAAATAAAGCCGGTACTTCTGCAAATGACTGGCTACATTCTCGCGAGTCAAACCTTCAACATTCATCAACTGCATAATCGTTTTCGGAACCGCGTTTTTAATCCCTAAGTGGCCGACCACGTCAACAAACCTCTTATGCAACTGAGGGGTCCACACGAGCCGTGGCCGTTTCAAAGTCCTCGCCGCCGCAGAAGACGGGTCTTCCACCGAATTCTCGGTCCTCAAAGCTGAATCTTCCTCTTCCGAATCAACCCTCCTCAACTTCCTCGCTTCGGATCCAGACCCGTCCCGATCCACCGCTCCGGTTTTATTATCTAAATCAACTACAACAGGGTCGTGCGTTTGACCTGTCGTTTCGTTGAACGACTTGAAGTTAATAGACGATAAGGCGTTTAATTGACCGCGGAGATTGGAGAGAGTGGTCTGAGAAGCGCGGTTGACATCGAGTGGAGTACGCTGAGGCTCAGGGGAGATACTGAAGGCCGAAGCAAGTTCAGGTGGAATCAACGTTTGTGATAAGGGAGTTAGATCATCAGGTGTAGGTAATCCTATCTCCCACACTGCAACTCTTTCATCGTCTCCGTTGATGTTATCTTCACCATCGTTGATTTCGTATTCACTCATTTTCACTTCTTCTCCCATGGTAGCTTAATTTTTGGAGAAAAAAAATATTTTTTTTTTTTGAAATGGAAAGAGAAGCGGATCGGAGTCAGAGAAGAAATTGGAGATAATTAAGGGAAGCAGTGGACGTGATTGTTTGGTTTTCAGGAAAGACAAGGGAAGGAAAATAAATTTGAGGGTGTTTTCTTGAGAGAGCAAGGTGGAAATATCCAATGGGCTCATCGTATTTTTAGCATCCCTATAATATTATAAATGTAGTCCTTTTACTTTTATTTTTATTTCTTCTATCTCTCTATTCTTAATTTAATACAATTTTCGTTAACAGATAAAAATAAAATTAATAAACTAAGAACTCTAATTGAGAAAATTTAAGGTTAAAATTTTAATTACGGAGAACTATCAACTACTTTCTTAACTGATCAGGAATTAAATAAAAGCATATGAACCATATTGCTGAACTTTGAAAAGTATAGGGGTGGAATATACAATTAACCCAATATCTGATAGAAGTTCCAGATGGATTGGTCTCGCACCAATGCCAACGTGGATGACTTTGCCAGATATTTTTGATCCTCTAAATATCTTCACTTTCTCACTTCCTAGCTCGAAGAAGGAGACGGATACTCGCCCTCTCTATTTGACACATGTGAAGTAATCCAATGAAGAACGGACACGTAAGATGTGGATCCTGGTAGATTGGGGGAGTGAAAGTACTTAACTGGTGTGAAAAAGGCTGGTTGTTCAATGCCAAGTCGGCAAAGGGGTTGCACTTTTGAGGTTGTATTGGTAATTTCAGGAGAACCTTTAATTTAGAACCGCCTTTGCCGTACGACTACTCTTTTTATTATTCTTAAGGGATGGACCCATGAGACAGCCGTGGGTTGGCGTACAGCTGGAGCGGTGGACGAGTAAGAATTAAGAAAGGCTCGATAATAATATATTTTATTTTATTTTATTTTATTTTATTTATTTAAAAATAATAATTTTAGTGGTTGATCAAACTTTTTTATTTTTAGTGTTTGCGTATTAAAGTTTTTAAAAATAAATTATTTTATATGCTATTATTAAAAATAAATTTAAAAAAATAATTTAAAAACAACAACCTTAACCATATAAAACAGTAACATGTTATATTTTAAACAAGGCAACCATCTCTTTCAAATAACAGGTTTAGGTGATAGGAAAAAGAAATATTTTATTTAATAAGCTTCGGGTTGTTAGCTCTCTTTAAATAAATATATATTTATACATAGTATTTTTCATGAAATATAAAATAAATTGTTTTATAATTTAAATTATTAAAAAAATTGAAGCGATTGTCCATTTCATGCATTAAAATATAAGAAAAAAACCTATACATATAAAGTATCTCATCTTATATTAGAATACAAGGAAGTGTAATTATAAGAAAGAAAACTCTTATAAATGTATAAGTTAGGGGTGTTAATGGCTTATCAAAGACCCAATTCATCAATTTGGGACTTGAATAAAAAAAACATATTATGGTATGTAATCCATAAGGCTATCACTTGCAATGTAATGTGATTTTTTTTAATAAAATAATCTCTTTAATAATCAGATTTTTAAAATATACACACACATATACATATATGTGTGCATGTTTAAAAATATATAAAGTTTTGAGAAATTTTATATTACCCCAATAATAATTTCATATGAAAAGGAGAAATATGATAGAAGTTTGATAAAAAAAAGAGGAAAAGTTTACTATTCCATTCACTTTCAAGTGTTATATAGTACATATTTGTTATAGAGATAACAAAAGATAAAATCCTATCATGTACAACTCATAGATACACTTAGCTTTGTATTTGAACTATTCAAATTAATTAACAATATGAAAGAATAATTGTCATGAGATATGCCCCCTCAAGATAAGTCGCGGTAAGAAAGGTTAATCTTGGTTTTGAGAGTTTGAAACTTAAAGCGGGGTAACAATTTTGTAAGTGCATCAACAAATTCATCATTGAAGGGAACATGAGCTATACACAAAGAACCGATTTGGACTTGATCTCGAATAAAGTGAAAGTTTATTACAACATGTTTCATTCTTGAATGGGAAACTGGATTAGAACATAGATAAGTAGCTTTAATATTATCACAATAGATTGTAGGAGCGTAGGGTAAATTTATTCCAAGATCTGTCAAGAAAGAATAGAGACATTTTATTTCAACAACAATAGCTGCAAGAGATCGATACTCAGCTTTTGTTAAAGAACATGCAATAGTCTTTAGTTTCTTTAAGTTCCAAGAGATAGGATTACGACCTAAGTACATGAAATAGGCGCAAGTTGAGGAGTAGTCATCTTTGTTGCCAGCCCAGTCTGCATCAGGGAAGGCATGAAGAGATTTTAAAGAGTTACAATAAATGATAATCCCTTCATCTAATGTACCGTATAAAGAGCACAAGATATGTTTGACAAGAACCTAGTGCTCAGTTGATGGTCGATACATGTATTATGATAACTTGTTGACTGCATAAGTGATGTTTGGGCATGTCGTCGACAAGTATTGCAGACTTTTCATAATTGTGCAGTAATCTATAAGATCAAAGAGAGTTGTTTCGGAGTGTAAACTAATAAGAGGACAGGTAGGCAGTGGGGTAGAAACAATTTTAGCACCTGTCATATTGGTCCGAGCAAGAAGATCTTGAATATATCGACGCTAAGAAAGCTCATAGTACCACACCCTTAGTGCTTGTTTAAGGCCATATATAACTTTACGAAGCTTACAAATGAATGTTGGATGATCAAAATTAATGAGACTCGGAGGCTGAGATATATAAACATCTTCTAATAGATGACTTTGTAAAAAAGCATTATTGACATCAAGTTGGCCCCTTGTGAAGATCTTTCACCTGAAAACACATTGGTAGGAACTCAACAGAGACATTATTAGTGACACAAAACTAATAAATAAAGATTAAATTTGTTCTTATATCAAGTACATAAAGAACATCATTTAATTTGAATGTAGAGTAATCAGTGAAAAGAGAAGTTGAACCAATATGAGTGATGGAGAGTCCCATTCCATCTCCAATCATGACATTATTAGATCTAGTATAAGAAGCATAAAGAGATAAATTATTTAGGTCTATTGTGACATGATGAGAAGCATCACTATCAAGCAACCAAGTTGAATTGTTGGAGGCAACATTAGTAGTAAAGTGAGCCTGTGGCTGCCAAGGAGCTGATGAATTACTGGAATGTGGTGTAAATGCCTTGTTGGATGATTGAATAGGAATCACTTAGAATGATGGACATCTTTTTGTTGTGTGGCCTTGAGTGCTGCATATCTGGCAATAGCCCAATTATGAATGTGATGATGGACGACCATCACAGGGATGTGGATGGGAAATGAGTGATGGGTACCAACATGTTTGTCTATAAGAATTGAGATGCCACTTAGAAATGGAGTTTTGATGTCTCCAGATTTTACTGGTTTTATTTGTTGGATTCATAGTTGTTGAAAAATGAGTAAATCTCTTTGTTTTCCCTTTAAAAGAGACTTTAAATATTAACAATTTCTCATGAAGCTCATCAAATAAGATAGAGTTATCACAAGCTTGAATAGCAAGGACCAATTCTCTATAATCTTCTCCTAGCTCATCTAGAATCTTTTCGGTAAGATCTTCCTCATCTATTGGTGTACCAAGTATTGCAAACTCATCTGCTCAGGCTTTAACTAATTGAATAAAGCTAATAATATTTAAATTACATTTGGTGGAATTTTTTAAAAGAGTCTTGGCTTGTTTAATACATCCACGTGATGGTTTAGCATAGGTGTTGGCTAAAATGGTTCATGCTTCCTTTGATGTTATGAGTCTTGCAACAAATAAAACGATTGTAAGTGAAAGTGAACCAATAAAAACATTGAAAATAAACTGATCTTGATAAATCTATATGTTATAGGCAGGATTTTATCAATATAGTAATAGGTGGACAGGGTTTGAATCCATCAATATAACCAAGAAGATTATAGTCAATAAAAAGAGTTTGGAATTGAAGTTTCTAATAAATATAGTTGTTGATAGCGAGTTTAAGTGGGGCTTAAGCAGAAGTGTTTATGGTAATGAGTTAAAATTTATTATTATAGAGAATGGTTGAATTTGTTGGCGTGGTTGGATTGGATGAATTTGGATTGTTTGTTGAATTGATTTGAATAGCCATTATACATAAAAAAAAAAAAATTGAAGAATTATTCAATGCATAAAAAAAAATTCTAATAGCATGATAAAAGTTTGATAGAGAATGAGGAAAAACTCACTGTTCACTTTCAAGTATTATATAATACATTTTTGTTATAGAAATAACAGAAAATATGATCATATTATGTATAACTCATTGATACATTTAAATTTGTATTTAAATTATTTAAATTAAGTAACAATATGGGAGAGAAACAGTTATATATGTGTGTAAGAGAAAAGGAGAAAACACTTTTTATTGTCAAATAAAAATAAAATAATAAAGAGAGAAAATTAAAGGGTTTTTTTTGTTAATCTATGCTAAAGCAATCAAATCACTTTTAGCATGATATAATATAATTTCTCTCATCTTTCCATTTATATCTCCCCTTAAAATAAGTCAATGAAATAATTATTAATAATCATTTTTTAAAATAATATAAAACTTCTCGTTACATGCTATGTTTTTTGTTTGCATAATCCTGTTAAAGAAATACATATAATTAACTATTCTTTTTAGTAATATTTTTTTTCATAAATACATATAGAATCCTACATGTTGAGTCACATTTTCTTTAGATTCTCCGCGTAGCGAGGGTTTGCTAGCACACGCGAGAGAAGGAGATGTGGAAGCGGAATAAGTTCAGGTAAGTAAAAAAAATTCTATTTTCATAATTTTAAGAGTAATATAAAATAATTATTTTTAATTTTTAAAGGCTTGTTTGTTTGAAAGTATATTTTTAATTATTTTTTAAATAGTTTTTCATGTTAAAATACATGTTAATAATTTTTTTATTTTTTAAAAATTATTTTTGATATTGATACTTAAAAATGATTTAAAAACACTAAAAACATATTAATTTAAAGTTAATAAAAAATAAAAAATATTAATTTTTAAAAAAATATTTTTAAAATAAAAAACAAATATGCTAAATCAGACAAAAATATAATTAAAGAAAATATATTTACATAAAATAATTTAAAGCTCTCTCTTAAGAAATAATAAATGATGAACCAGAGAGATATTCAATGATTTTCTAGTGGTTATTTCAATAAATATGGATATGGTAGAATATGAGCTGGTTGGCCCACATATACACTTTCTCAATTGCATTTTTCTTAAAAAATAAATAAATAATAATAATAATGTAATGCCAATTGAAAGAATCATTTGTCCCCGAATATAAATTATTGCGACGATACGATGATGGCAACAATAATTCTTAATTCCCTGTTTCTTTTAGAATTGATGGTGACGTGTTAATTATTTTCTCTGTGTTAAATGACAATAATAAGAAGAAAAAAAACCTCCCAGCATATTTTTGTATATTATTAGATGGTGGCATGAGACACGCTGCTAGGGGAGTTCAATTTTTTGTGATATAAGAAAAATGTTCAAGCTACATTAATATTTAAAAAAAAATAAAAAGATGTGAATTTGAATGAGTTTAATAAGTCATGTTAATTTAATAATATATAAAACAAATCAAATAAAGTATTATGAAGCCAGCATTAATGCATGTATTCAATTAATTAATTTAATTTAATTCAAAAATATTTTTAAAAATTAAATTTAAAATAAAATAAAAAATAAAATGATTTAAAATAACTCATATTATCCTCAAAACAAGTGAGAAATCCTATAGAGAACAAAAAAACTAATGGAGCATTATATCTAATTAATTAAATGTTAAGGCACAAAATTGTAAAAAATATTTAAGAAAATCAAACAAACTCAACTAATTATCATAAATATGGGTTAATTTTTTAAATTCATTATTCGTTAAATTCTAGATTCATACTTAATCAAAAAGCTTAATTTCATAATTAATTTAACATTAAAGTATAAAATTAAAAAATATATATGAATTTAAAAAAATTCAAAGTAAAACAATAACAATACAAAAATAAAAATTAAATCTAATAGAAAAAAAATCAAAGTATTAAATCACTTGAAATAATAAATTTTAAGAATCGTCTCAAATAAAATAAATAACAATCAGAATAATATAACTAAATATATCATATAAAAAATAAAAAAATTCAATTAAAAAAATTCAATTTTATAAATCATTCTAAATAAATTAAATAATCAGAGAAAAAACATAAATTAAATGTAAAAAAAATAAATTAAATAATTACTTTGAATTTAAAATTTTAGAAAATCATCCATAAAAAATATAAAAAAAAACAAGAGAAAAGAATAAGGGGAAAGGTTATCGATGTCAGACTGGAAATCCATTAACCATTTTGCCATGCACTTTGCCTAATAGTAGAGGGGACACCGAGATAATTTAAATATTATCTTGAAAGCCACTATTCTGCTGCTAGATAGCACGTCACATGCCGCTAGAAGAATGCATTGAACATCAACACAAGCCAACCATGTTTATTTTTTTAATAATATTATGTATTGATTAAAATATAAAATTGTCTCTAGGCTTAGCCACCCTAAATATAACCCCAAAAAAAACCATGATGAAAGTACTGAGAAGCCCCTATAAGCCTGCTTAATAAATTTTACGCACTTTAATCATTTTATTATGTCAAAAAATTAAAATGACTAGAAAGCCTCTAAATAGCAGTTTAGTATTTTATTTTTTTCCTTTTTCTTTTAAAGCTAAATAAATCATTTTATTGTATGTAAAAAATATGGAAAGACCATTATAACCTTGATTGATTTTATAATAACAAATAAACCCAATATATATATATATATATATTGCTCTTGAAGGCCAATTCATTGGATTTTGCTGTGGTGAAAATTATTATTATATTGTTTTAATCCACAGTATAACGAGTCTCTTTCACAATATTTCATTGATTTTTTTTAGATATTTTTTTTAATTTTCATTTCTAAAATATTTTAGATTAGCTTTGCCTCACCTCATGTAATGACGTGATATATTCTCTAATTAATCAAACGGGAAAAAAAAAATTCACAACCTAAACAGTCCAGTGGTTCAGTTGTTAAGAAATTCCATTACGTACTTTGTCGGGCGCATATCCTTATTCATTACCAACACTAATCACTGCTAGTTGATTATAAATAACCAGATATATAAATATATAGTAACGTGACTAGTGCTCTATTGTTAGCTAGATAAAAATAAAAAAAATTGAGAAAAAAAATGATGTTATATAAGCAAGTTTTTTTAAAAAAAAATAACGTTGACAATGAAAACAATAAAAAGAAAAAGATACGATATCAACTAGTCTTAATCCATTATCTGAGTTATTTGACTAAACACGATAAATTTAAAAAACTTTAAAATTTAATTTTTTACTAATTAAATATTAAATGATAAAATTGAAGAAAAAAATATAAAAAATGATATAAAAAAATAAAAATTATAAGTAAAAAAAATGTCTAAATTTATTCAGGTTAACTCGTCAAACTCATGAATTAGATTATAAGATCGAGATAACCCAATATAAAAAAAAATAAAAAAAAAATAATGAAACTCTTTTAAAAAAAAAACCAATGTATTATCAGATGGGAAAAAAATCATTAAAAAAATTGATATCAACCCTTGTTAGTTTATAAAACTATTGTCTTGAATCATATATATGAGAACAATTCTCAACAAATTAAATATAAAAAAATAAAATATAAAAAATCAATCATATAAAAGGATATAAAAAAAAAGGAGAAATAATCAAAACTCAAAAAAAAAAAAAGCAATCCATTAGAGTTAACTCATTAAATTCACAAGTCAGGATATAAGACCGAGATAACCCTATAAAAAAATAAAGAAAATCATGAAACTTATTTTTAAAATAAAAAATAATCAATATTTATTAATAAAATGGAAAAAGAAATAAGTAAAAAAAAACAATGAAAATCAATGTTAGCTTATAAAATTTAATACTCAAGCCATTTGTTTAGAAGTATTAAACTTGCAAAAACCACAAATCCTAGCTTTCAATAAATAAAATTTCAAATAATAAAATTTAAGATAGAAAAAACTTAATCACAAAAAAAAATTCAAAAAAAAATAAGAATAAATTTTAAAAAAAAATGTGAGGATGGGTAATTTTGAATTAAAATTAAAAAAAAATTAATTTCACAAAAGAAATAAAGAAGAAACCACAAAGAAAGGGAGGGCTACATTGGTTTTTAAAAAATAACAAGTTAAAAATTTTAATTAAATAATGAAATTGAAAAAAATTAAAAGTTTTAAAAAATTATAAAAAAAATGAAGAAAAAAATCAATACCAAATTTTAAAAAATTAAAATTAAAAGATGCGGTTAAAAAAAACATGCAAAAAAAAATTAATGTATAGAATGAAAAAAGAAACACATACAGGGTTAGTTTAATTTATTAAGCACATGTATTAGGCTGCATTTGTTTGTTAAAAAAGTGATTTATCCAGTATGTATAATTATTATATAACATTATATGTTATATATTATTGTGTATTTTCTAGCAGTATCATGGTCGATGTGAGAATTACATCTCTAAGACATCTATCGTAAACCAATTTAATATATTTGTTATTTTTTAATAAAAGAAACTTGTCATTAATATATCATGTTCTAATATAAAGTATAAAAAAAACAAAAAAAAATGTTTGAATTTCCTAGGAATAGTACGTGCATGCGTGTATTATTAAATGCATGAATATGACCATAAATTAATGACAGTAAGTTATTGGTTTGGTGGTCGAGGAGGTTCTGAAGGAGCATGCAAATTTGGAGAATTTAAGCCAACCCTGAAGAAGTCGTCGTGCCTTCAGATACAGCCCCACTTCGAGAGTTTCCATCAGACGTTGCCCACCACAAATGATGGTGGAGGCGGCACTATCATTCCAGCCTGCTCTATCCATTCTCATCGTTGAGGTGATTTCTAATCACTACTTTTCAAGATTCACATAATATTATGGCTTTTCTTACTGCGGCTGATAAAAGTTTTGACTTTGGAATGTGGACTGTTGCTAAATTGAGGTGGCTTGTTTGGTTGCAGGTAATCTACCTGGGAGTGACAAATCTCTTGCAGAAAAGGGAGACGAAGAAGCTTCAGAAGGAACAGGAGCCTAAGGAGGAGGGAGGGGAGAAGAGAAAGGTGACAGCAGGGTCTGGGCCAAGAGGCTTTGAGCAGAAGATCAGCTACTTTAGGAGTCCCATGTAAGCTTGTGTGGTGTTTTGTAACTGTAAGTTTGCAACATTTAAGTTACGAGAGCGGAGCTTGAGTAGTTTTTATACTGTATTTTATTTGATTGATGTTAAAAATAATTTTTTTAATATATTTTTAAATAAAAAATATTTTAAAAAATTATTATTATTGCACTACCAAACACCATACATCTCATTGGTTAGTCATATATCATTGCTATGTCATTGCTTGTTCATATGTGGTGATAGCTGATTCCGTATTACCCAGTGTCGAGGAACAATTATGTCCCTTCACACTAGTTTTCTTACATATTTGACTCAATAAACGGAAATTGCAGCCTTGTGTGTTTAACATTATTGCGAGGTTTTTTTTATATATTTTTCATGTCAATATTTTTAAAACAGAAGCTAACCTGCTCTTCTAGAACATTAGCTGTTTCACTTGAACGTAGGTGAAACAACTGCTGGTTAGTTTCGTTGAAGCTCGACTAGATTCTTCACCCTTGGACTCCAAGAAAATTGAAGCTCGAGAGTTCTCACCAACAAATATAATAATACATGTCTCTCCCTGTTTGTCTGTAAACTCCACAGATTGAAAGTGGATACAGTGATATTTAATGGCTAGTAAACATCTCTCCAACCCTTTCAAAACTGCATTGCAAGCAGGGAGATAGCATGACTGATGATCCCAACAGCACATGAAGCAATTATGAGAGAGTGCTCGTTCTATGTTCGGATAGTATTGTTATTACTCTCATTAAAAGAATTCGTGAACTTCGAAAGAAGATAAAATTTGGTTTTCCCTGCCTAACAAGCAAACTTTGATCAGCCCCAATGGGGAGCGCAGAAGACAAATAAAAGCTGAGAAATCACAACTGAACAAGGTTGTTCTTTCTCTAGCAAGAGACGCAGGAGCAAGAGAACCACAGAAGCATCATGACACGATTATAGATATATAGCAGTCACACTCGCACAAACATAAACCACGCTCGAATAACGAAAGAAAAATGTACTTTAAGAGAGAAAAAAAGTCAAATCCGGATACATGAGAATGAAACTCTGGCCTCACCTAAACATTAGCAGCTCTCCACATAGCAACATTTGTACATATCACGTTTAGACTACCTCCACATTTTTAAACCCTTAAAAAGTCGTATGTCATTTAACTCCTCTGCAGGGGGCATCGGGTTGTATTCAACATCTGAACCTCAGCTTGCTCGACTCTATGTATAAACCTTAAACTACAGAATGTACAGTTTCAGGTACAAGCAGCTTTATTTTCGAACAGCCCATACCTCTCTGAAAAGATAGGTAAATACGTAGCTCTAAAACAGGAAGGAAGAAAGAGAGGAAGCTCACACTAGCTTCGGTTAGCTGTACAAACAACTTTCTTTCCTATTAGAACTAAGCAGCAGGGTGCAGGGACTGCGCGGCAATTCTCCTTTCTGCAAGCAATTTAAGATTAATGAGAGCTAGTCGTCGATGAAGAAATTCTATGGTCTTACTACCACATAGCAATATGACATGAGATATAGTTCAGAACAAAATAGCTATAAAGCATAAGAGCTATAAAGGATTACCGGCTTCATATTGCATACACCAGGTCTGTTTTGTTTCCATAGAGGAGAAAATGGTAATGAAAGCATAAACTTTCTTTACATAAACATGTCTCAGTTATACATTTATATTGTCAATCAACAGAGCGTTCATGAAACATATAACAATAGGCTCATTTTTTGGAGGAAGTCAATTGAAGAATGTAAACACAGGTACTGAATGACAACTTTCCAAAGCAAAACATATGCTTATATGCAAATGCAAATGCATGCAAACCCATAGTAATGCAAAATAACTCAGTCAATTATTGGTTTGGTGAAATTTATGAGCAAATAACTGGCAGATAACTTCAAGATGCAACAGTAAATTCCAGGTAACTAATCATGCTCTCAAACAGGCTGAAACTGCAAATGAGAGAGGCAGATTAGATATGTTCAAACCACATGGAGCAGCTATTTTAAACACATTAACCTTTCCTCTTTCAGAACCTAATGCTCCACCAAGGTTCCCAGGGATCCTGAGTGACAACAGTACAAAAATTTACTAGTATGTGCCCTGCCAAGGTCCCCAACGAAGGTGAAAAGGTACTAGTCTTACTTCAAATATACAGACATATTTACAAATCAAAATCAGGTTAATATCATAAGCATGAAATAATGCCTACCCCCAGCAGCAACAAGTTTCTCTACACGTGCAACAATGTGCTTTCCATAGGTGTACTTCTTCAATGCAGTTAGATGAACTTTTATTCTTGTAAGGATCAGTTCACGCTGTTGGTCATCACATGTCTCCAGCACTTTTTGTACAACATAGTTAGCAAACTGATCTTTCATCATTGCCTGGACAGATTAGGGGAAAAATTAGCAGAAGAAATTGGGAAATGATCATGCTTAATAACTATATGGGCATATGCAAAATTTGAAAAATGCACATGAGAAAAAGCACACCCGCACAAAAATATATATAGATAGTTGAAAATTACAAAGTTCTTTGATTCTAGCAAGCAAAAGTGCATAGAAAGTTGCAAAACCTGAAGAGGCTCATTTTCATCAGTGGTGCCTAGCATTTCATTGACCAGTAGTTGACGTTCAGAAGGACCACTAAATGTTAAACACTTCTCTACAACATTGGAGGCAAACTTTTGCTGACTCATCTGAACAATCCTCCCAGCTAACTCCTTGATGATAGCAGATCGTTCATGAGATTTCCCATGTTCCAGCACATGCTGTTAAAACAGAAGCCAGCACCCAATCAAATCAATAAAGATTAAAAATAAAACAAGACAAGTGTGATTAACAATAATTGGGAAATGTAATTTCTACAAACATACAGCATGGCTAATAAGCAGCATCCAGAGAAGAAATTCCAACTTCCATAAAACAGTAACAAAAGAAATGACAGCATCTGTATCTTAGAAATGAAAGTTTATTCATAATTCCATAACAAGTGATCTCTTTCTTAAATATTATCAGTATGCTTGCATATGGAACAAATAAATACAGGGGTGCATATGTAGCACTCAAATGTTATTGGTCAGTTCAAAAAAATACAGGGGTGCACATACCTCTCGTAAGAGAAATAAGAGAAGCAGTGGAATACACTCTATTGATGACTGTATTTATCTAATTACCAAATAGAACGACATCTTAAAGGGGGATAATGACAAGAAACTCATTCACGTGATTGAGCTTCCAAAGCAGGAATGGATGTTCTAAAGCACTGACAGAGATAATGGATGAGAGACATGAAGGCAATAGAGCTGGAGATTCAGCCAAGCTGTATCAAAAACACATTAAAATTCCTAAACATTGCTAAGACTTCCTGTTTTCTCAAGAATACCTGGACCACTTTTCATAAATTGTAAGCAAACATCAAGACCAATTCTTTTATGAAAAACAGAGAACTGTACTGTCCATACCCAGTAGCTTACATGAGATAAAAGTTATAAGACTCAATCAGAAAGGTAGTGGCATTTATGCATCCAAAGTGGGAGTCCTTGAACGGAAAAACCAACCTGAACCACATAATTTCCATATTGATCTTGTGCCAACATACTAACAGCTCCCAAAATCTCATCCATAACTTTATTCTGTGTGTTTGCATCCTTGCAGTGCTCCAATATCCTCTGCAAATTAAAGAAATGGCCATGTAATTTTCTTTACTTCCAGAAAGGTCCACAGAATTGAAAAATGCAAGAAACCATTTCAAACCTGTATCACACGACACCCATATGGATGGGTGGAGAGAATCACAACTTGATCAAAGAATGTTGTGACAATAAACTGAATATTATCTTCAGGAATACATTCAATACACTTTTGGATGACATGGTTCCCATTCTGGTCACGTACACACCGCATTACATGACCATCAAGCTCTTCAACCATCTTTATTTTCTGTTCTAGGTCAACAACCTCAATGGCCTGAACAATATAAAAAAAAATATGTTACAGTCAACAACTTCAGTAGGTGCACTTGATAATATTGGACTGAGGTTGATTGGTGAGTGTTTTCAAAGGATCTCCATAAATTTGTGCATAATCAAGGCAAGTTACTCTATTCTATGGTGCAATGGCCAAAGCAAGACACAATTACATAAGCACCCTTCCGAATAGGCAACTTTGTTGTCACCAAGGTGCAAATGCAGGACACTGCATGATGCAAATTGGTGTCCACAACCCCAATAATGAAGGATCTTTTGGGCCATTTGACCACCACTTTTCACATGAACCAGGAGTGAACATTTGTTTCCTCAGAATTATACTTTCAGGCACCATCATAATATAATCCACAAATGAAGATATATCAGGGTGTATCATGTAACATTAAATTGCAACATGGTAGAAAAGCTAACGGTACCTTCTGGATCACTCGACAGCCATACATTTGAAGGCTAAGTGTCAAAACATGACCTAAAAGCTTGCCAGCCAATTCTCTTCTCTGTGATGGAAGCCCATGCTCGAAAAACTATATACAAATACATAAACTTTCATAAGAGGAAACCATTAAAACATAAGTGTATATTAACAAAGCATGGAAGCCCATGCTTGAAAAACTATATACAAATACAGACACTTTCATAAGAAGAAACCATAAAAACATAACAAAGTTCATATTAACAAAGCATAGATATCTGGTACCTTCTGAATTACATAATTACCAAACACATCAGTCATCAGAGCAAGAGCCTGGGGCATGATTTCCTGATAAACCATATTTTTCTCATCCGTTGTGGCAGTCTCAAGTTTTTGTTGAATGAATCGGC